AGAAGATGACCAGATCTGGTCATATTCTCCACTGGAGAAGGCGGTCGTCTTGTCCAGTGGAAGACAACCGGACGATCGAAAAACTATCGGGTGTGGCCGAAATTCGTCACCGGTGATAGGGCAGCACTTGGAAGGTCAAATCTATCATCCTCTTATCAAAATGTAACATGTACTCATGTGTGTACAACATTAGTTATCTACAAATGTACTATCAAGCGTTATAATTACAAAATTGACTCGATGTTCTCAGAAACCACTAGTTCTTATCTAGTAAAGAAATTTTTATATACCCCAAATGAAATTAAAATACATAATCACATTGAGACCGCAACAATTTCTCCATTGGCTGCTACGCTATCACTTGAGTAGTTAGGTTTTGTTCCTTAAATTACTAGATTCCCTGATGAATAATTAATTAGCCCCCAAAGGCCAAAACTGTTTAATAATATGTATTCAAGAGCTGATTAAGAATAAAAATAAAAATAATTCATCATCAAAAGAGGGAGGTCTGTATATGGTCGTTTCACGTCACTCCATCAAAGTAAAAGAAAATCATTTTAATACATATATAGTTACGTTGATGATTGTCTTATTCTTTAATTTTCTATTATTAATTAATAAATATTCTGCTGCAATTTATACCACCATAGCAGTTGGGAAGTTATTATTCTTTAATTAATTCCTTAACAGAAGGGGATGATTATATTATTTGGTATTATTATTGCCTGTAATTATCATCTATCCACTCGAAAAGCAACAAATTAGTGTGGGAGGCCGGATTCAATGTTGCAGTGCCGCCAGTGCTTAGAAGCTTATCAGTTATCACAATCCCACTTTGACTTTGTGATTATTATAAATACATTAATATTAAACGAGGTGTGCATTTGTTAAATTATACATTATACAAAGAGTCGTTAATTATTTCTTAATCAATGTTTGTCGGAAAATTACTTCATTTTATATTAATTATTATATGTTATTTAATTATTTTCTTAGTGAGTCCCTTCTTTTTCTTCTTTTTATCTACTCGTTTAGATGTGTCCGGCCATCTCATTCAATTATGACGTGTCACGCCTCACGATATATAATCGGAATATTTAGTAAATAATTGTTAGTTGATTGGATTATTGAGTTTGGTTAGTTGATAGCATTAGCTTATTGTAGAAAGATGTTTGGTAAATTAAATGTTAGTTAATAACCGATTACATGCAAAATGACTTTTTCAATAAGTTCATTGGAAAAAGTTACTTTATGCAGTTTTTTGAATTTTAGCGTTTTGGAGCAATAAGCTATTACAAAAAGCTAGTCAATCAAATACTCATATCAACGGTTTAACTAAATCAAACAGCTAATAGTGGTCAAACAAGTCAAATTTGACTGATAAACTAACTATATTACCACACGGTGAAACAAGCCAATATGCGAATATTTAATTTATTATATGTAATTGTATGGTCATATATACATTTTTCTATAAATCAAAAGTGAGTAATTAGTTTTCGGATTAACTTGCAAAGCATCATGATCACGTTAGCTTTGGATTTTATTAGTTTGAGTTGCTACTTGATGACATGAGAGTCATTACATGTGAATAGTATAAGAGACAAGGTAGAACTAGTTACCATTCAAATTAAAAGGTTTAAAATCTCTTATTTTTAATCTTGTTAGTAGGATGTTGTTCAAATTTATGTAATTTTTTTTCTTGTGAAAAAAAAAATGATAATTTTTAGTAATGCATTGCGGTGGCAAGCTTATATATATTAGTATGATTTGCAGCATATTTTTGTCATACGAGCATTGAAAACTTAAATTTCACTTGTTGAATACAGTATTATATATTTTTTACATAGGAATCGAACTTATTTAAAAACTTAAATTTCACTTGTTCAATACAGTATTATATATTTTTTACATAGGAATCGAACTTATTTAAATCCATAAACAAATATATTGGATCACTTTTTAAACATTATTTATCCCATTCATTATATTTGTCTGATTTTTGCATTTAGTCAACTAGAACCAATTACCCGACAACAGGTGAAATGGGCACTATAAAGTACAGATCAGAGAAGCTTCCGCCGGGGAATCCAAAAACGCATGAGTATCATATGTTTGGGTTTTGTTCCAGTTTTGAGTGGAAAATAGGATCGAGTTTAGGATCCAAGTGGGACAACGTGTTTCAAATGTGGTTTTGTCTCTTTTCCACTTTCTAACACTAAGTGAACCAAACGACTCCTAAGTGAACACTAAGGGGTCGTTTGGTTCACGAAATGTCAGATTACCTTAGGGAATGTTAGATTACTGGGAATGTTAGATTCCTGTGTTTGGTTAAAATTGGGGTATGTAATATAATCATGTTTGGTTTAGGGTTATCTTTTATTCACACACTATAATATCCTTAACATATTTTTATATATTTTAATAAATTTAAAAATTAAAATAAATAAATAAGATAACGGTATCATATATAATTACATGATTTTAAAATATTAACTAAAATATTGAACTTGAAAAACAAAATTATTTTATATGCTAACCTAACATAATAAAAATAAAAAATATATAATTACAAAAATAATTATATATATATATATGTATGTGTGTGTGTGTGTGTAATAAACTAACATAATCAAGGTTATCTTACATAACCAGAAATTGAAGGGAATCACATTCCCTTCAAAATCCTATGTGGAGGAATGTGACATTCTTGGGGAATGTTAGATTCCCTGAGATAATGTGAACCAAACATAGGAATGTGAGATTTGAAATGTCACATTCCCTTGGTTATGTTATATAACCTGAACCAAACGCCCCCTAAATCCATTTCCCAACAACAAACATTTCTCAAATATCACAAACTCCCCAAATCTACTTAAAAGTTGCTTCTAGCAAAAAAAATATATAGGACCTGTCACGAATATTTGGAGGTTTTGATTTGGGATGGACTTCTTTTGCACGGACTATGATACTCTTTGTGCTTTTGGTATTAAGTCATATAGTTTGACGAAACAGGAAAAAAATATGACATTTTTTTGAAAGGCAAAATTATCATTGTTAAAGGGCCCTATCGGGTTCAAACTAGTGACCTCAGTCAAATGCTCTACCACTGAGCTAAGGACCCTTCTTGCCATGACATTAGTTTTATGGATAACAAATCAATCACTTAAAGCTTATTCAGCAGTTGGATGGGGTTCGATTAATCCTACCACGAATATTAGAGGTATCGATTTGGGATGGGTTCCGATCCTTGTGCACACATGGACTCTTTTGGGCAGAAGTGTACAATTTATCTCATGTTGGCTTGAGGGTCGGTCCGATCCATGGACTGCATGCAATGTATGATATAGTCCGACAAAACAGAAAAAATATCAAAAACTGCCTCCATGACATTAGTCTCATCATGCATAGATGAGAAATCACACTTAAGACTTGTTTAATTTTAACAGTAGATGGTCGGAAGTTTAATCTCTATCGCGATTATTGGGGATATGAGTTTGAGATAAATTTCTTGTGCACAATAACATATTCATAGGGTCCATGATAGAATCACGGGAGGTGGAAAGCTAAGTTACGTTATTAAAATAAAAATAAAAATCACAAACTCCCCCACTTGAGTCTATCGTCTTTCTTTGAGAGCATTAATGATCTTTGAGTGCTTTTGTTCTACCTCACTAGCTTGCCTCCCACCTCCATCTAATTTGATGCCAAATATCCCAACCCCACAAAAAACATGTTCTAAAACAGCTTTAGTACCAAGTACCTTGCATTTGGAATGTCCTCCAATCACCTTTGACCGTCCCTCTGTCCATGAGACAACATTGAATTTCATCATTTGACGGCTTGACCCCAATTTTTTTCCCTGTAGATTCGTTTTTCATGTAAGTATAATGTAAGTATATTATTCTATAGTATTCCTCTGAATCAAGACAAAGTATCCGATTAAAGATATCTTTGATTTGTTGAGCATTATATATGTATATAAATAATAAATATGTCTTTAAATTATTAATTTTAACTTTTATTTGAGACGAAACATATATTTATCATAGGTATGTAAGAACGTGTTGAACATCATATATGTAAATAATAAATGTGTAATTCAACTCTTCTTGAGTGACAGTAGGGATGGCAATTCTACCTGCACTCAATGGGTTCCCCGTATCTCCATCCCTACGGGTTTTAAAATACACGCACAATATGGGTAATGAGTGCGGGTATGTGGAGAATTTTGTATACCCGCGCGGGTATGGGGGCGGGTCCGGGAGGTATCCCCGTCCCACACCTGCACATATATATATTGTTATTAGTATTCATTTATTACATAAGTTTATGTATATTTTATAATTAAAAATGCATAATGAATTAAACTTCTTAGTTTTTTGTTTATGAAATTTGAATAGAAATAACACAAATAACATAATGAATAAACATTTAATACAATTTATACTACCAGCACAATTTTAATTCCAATTAAGGACTAACTTCATTGGCTCTTATTAAATGTTATAGTTATGTTCAAACTTATAAAAAAAATCCGTATAATAATTACAATTGTAATATAGAATTTTTATTAGATTTAAATATAATATTAATAATTAGAGTTACGGGTGGGGTATTATTCACACCCGCAAAATCCCCGCGAGACGAATATGGCGTAAGAATTTCAATTCATTACCCGCGCGGGTGCGAGTGCAGGTATAGGGAGTGGGGTTAGGAATGCGGGTGCGGGGGTGGGGGATATATCCCCCGAACCCACCCCGCCCCATTGCCATTCCTAAGTGGCACATAACCTTTAATCTAGATACATTTTTTCCAACAACATAAAAACACACTTAAAAAAAACATATGTTTCGCATATATATTTGTAGCTTTAAAAGCTAGGGTTAGTAGCTCCTAATTTATTTCAGAGCGCTTATAATTTTTTTTTTAGGAGGCACTGCACGTTTAAGTCTGTACCATATTTCGAGCCGGTACTAGTCAGATTGATTTTTTCATTTGAGATGAGTTTGAACTCCTAACCTCTCTTAAGAAATGAGAGTGCACGTGCACTCACGCCAACCAAGCTAGTTAGCTTATAGCTTATTTGTAGTTTAAAATAATGTATAAACTCTAAAATAAATTCTACTAAACAAAGTCAAAATATGGCAAGATCACATACGTACACTAACAGAGTCAGCCGCCAAGAGCGGGTAAGTCCTACCAAGTAACAAGTTGAACTTCCTCAAATTTCGTAACCATCTATATATCTAGCAATTTACACGCATATTAACCTCGTGATGTACATACTTCAAATGACAATCTCAATCTCTATCCAACAACACTCGAACAACATTAGAAATATAGAGATGTGTATCCACAAATCCACCATTAAACTATTGTTACATCATACATGCGCCAACCTTAAACCCCACAAATTCATTCGTCGTCTCCATCCTAAATACGTTCATCCGTTGCAACTCGAACAACATTAAAAATATAGAGATGTGTATCCACAAATCCACCATTAAACTATTGTTACATCATACATGCGCCAACCTTAAACCCCACAAATTCATTCGTCGTCTCCATCCTAAATACGTTCATCCGTTGCAATTTTCCCTAGTTAATTTTACCCAACAAATCTTATTTAATTAATTAATATAGCACTAATAAGGTCTAACTAGACTGGCGGGCATGATGTTAATGGCAGTCGTTTACAATATAATTGTGATGAATATAGAAAGAAACGAACTAAGATGCCACTCTAAACATGGCCCCTCAATTTGGGCAGATGTCTCATCTGATTAGACGATGTAGCTAGGCTATGAGCAATGTGTGTGTCGATATTCTAGTAGGTCAAAATTAAACAAAATTTGAATTGTATTTGGTTCGATGAACTAACACAAAATGCTATCTCTTCATCAATTAATTCCTTTGAAATTATATTCCAACACTAGCATCCTCTTTGTTTTTGCACGTTACGTGACCATCTAATCTACATATGCCACTAACCGACGAATATCATCTTATTTATTTATTTTGACAAGTGAAATACTAACACTCACTATTTAAATATTTAAAGATGTGTATGAGATAAATTTCGTTCCTGCGTAATTGTCCACGAAATCTTGTAAAGCGGGCTCAATTGAGAGTGTATTTGTACAAATCAAACTCAGACTTTTAGGTACAAGAATTATGGTTCATCCCGTCTTTTCGGGGCAAAGAACATCTTTCCCTTTTATAATTATGTTCCCAATAAAATTTATTCATGACACATTTTATGCAAGAGTTAGTCTATTAGAAACACAATATGAGAGTGAGAGTTTATTAATTATTAGATAACAAAAAAAAAAAAAAACAAATGCACAAGATTAAGTAATTTATTAGATCTTAAGAGTTAGAGTTTATATGCATTATAATTATAGCAGTTTGTCTTTAAGTTAATGATAAGTGATAACGGTCTATTTTGTCTTTAAAACTCTTATTAGTTTTATTACACGCGCATTGTGCGATTAATTTAATGCCCAATAATGTAAAAATATAATTAAAATATCGAGTCTTGCTCTAAATAATCAAAAGAAGATAAATTAAACGAAAAAAAAAAATTAACATACATTTATTTTTTTAAAAAATGAAGAAAATAATTTTTAGCGTTCATTATTTGTAATATTTGATACTCAATTGGGTGGCTTAGTCTTGAGGCTTTAGTCTACACCAGTTGGATGTAGTCTTAACTTGTCATTTTTCTTGAACTAGTATATTCATCTTGTTACATCTAATTTAATTAAGTCCATAAATTATGAGCAATAACTCAAACATACACATATATTCATCTCTTCTTACCCATAAAAATAGGTGAAAATATTTAATATTCCATACATTTAATAACTCAAACATACACATATATTAGTAGCTTGGTAATATAGAAATTTTTGACCACAAATTTCTTTGTTTTTCAAAAGAAACTCAACCCCCTAAATCAAGAGGGTCGAAATTTTAAGGTGAATAAAATTTCATTATAAAATATATTGAATGAAGCATAAAATAAGCTAAGTGTTGAGTAAGCTCATTTTATTTTATCAAACAATACCTAAATCAAACAAAAACCCAATGTGACAAGTACCTCCAACAACTAGACAAACATAATTAATTAATTGAAACAGTTTTATGCGTGACAAGACCTGTACTTTTGATTAATTAGCATAGCTTTTTACATGACGAGATCTACACTATTGATTAATTGGCATAGCTTAATTAGCTTTTTGCGTGACGAGACCCACACTCACTCAAATGCCGCATTCTACAAGTAGCGACTATGAGTTTTCATATAAATCATCATAAAGAATTACCCATAAAATAAATGGTGCAATTGGGACACAACTCATAACTCAAAACACAATCCAAATTAAATCAAGACAGACATTGTAAGACAAAAACCTTTGATTTAAAGAATTACCCATAATTTGTGATTTATGAATGGGACAAAAAATGTACCATGCAATTGAAATTAAAGCTGAAAAGATCTCACTTTATTTATTTATATTTTTCATTAGTCTTATTTAGATAAGACAGATACATTTGAAAATGTCCCTCGGATCATGTATTTGAATTATCAAATTTATCTCATCATAAAAGTGTAAAACCACACAGCATCCAATACATAGCAAGGAGATAAGGTTTCCTGGACTTAGTGGATTAAAAGAAAGAAAAGAATTATATAATTTAAAAATGTATAAATAAATAAAAAGAAGGGTGGGGTTTAACAACTATTTGTGAAAAGTAAAAGATTTTTATTATTTAAATTGGAATAATTTAATCTTGTTTTGTATTTCTCTCATTCATAGTAAGAGGGACTGAAGGGCTAAAGTGGTTGGATTCGATCTCCAATCCCTAGCTTCTTGGCTAGGGTTATTGTTCAAGTATTTCTGGACTAGTCACGTTCAAGTGAGAATCAACACTCATAATAAAACTAAGAACCATCCATAATTGTCAATATAAGATCATTGGCACTAAAGTAAGAAAAATGCAGTGAGTTTTAACAACTATTTCAAACTTTAAGTGCATTCCACAACATTATCAAGTGCATTCGTTAATATCTACAAGTGCAATCTCTTGAACGCACTTTATTTCATTGACTGCACTTGAGTTTGCTAAGATGCACATTTAGGGTCGTAGATCTAAGTGCATTTATACATATATCAGAAAATGAACTTGATAGTGTTACAAAGTATATGTTCACATGTTCGCACTTAGGGTGTGTTTGGAAACCCGAAAAATGATTTCTAGAAATCATTTTTTAAATTTCTAGTGTTTGGATGTGCTTGAAAAATCAAGTCAACAGAATTCATTTTCCGTTGACTTTAGAAAATATGCTTCTTTTTAGAGGAAAATAACTTCCTTTTTTTTTTTTTTTTTTTGAGAAAATCATTTTCCAACTTTTACACCAACACCATCACCACCACCACCAGTACAAGACCACACTACCACCACCACCACAATACCACCGCAACCACACCACCACCACCACCAATTATTATTATTATATAACAAATAACACTACTACCACCACCACCACCATTATCACCAACACCACCGCCACCACTATACCACTACCACCACTACTATACCACTTATTATTATATTATTATTATTTTGATATCTTATTAGTTATTTTTTATTATAATTAAAATTATTATTATATTATTATACATGTTATATTCTAAATAAAATAATTAAAATGTTTAATTATACAATTCTATTCATTTTTCAAAAAATAAACCAAACACACCAAGACAATTTTTCAGAATGCAACCAAACACCATAAAGGAGAATGTTTTCTGAAAAGTGACTCATTTTCCATAAGTCATTTTCCTGCTTTCCAAACGAACCCTTAGTCGTAAATTTTTATTTGATATTTTTCCATATATATATATATATATATATATATATATATATATATATATATATATATATATATATATATATATAATGTAGATGTTTGATAGATGAGTGGAATGTTTAAGCTGGGTTGTTCTCATTTTCTTGAAACAAGAATTTCTAATTTTTTTTTTTTTAAGACAAGGATAAATCTGACTGGACTCTCCCCCAAATAATTTGTTGGTACAAAGATCACGTTGTTCCTTGGTCGTTGGTGATTATGTCTGATGGGACTTGTACTAACACCATTATCCTGGCAAAAACAGTTCTACATGAAATTAGAATATAATTAATGACTAATTGTCCATTATGGACTAAACACCATTACTCTTTTGTAACAAACATTCTGTCATGTAGCATGTATAAATAACAAAATCCATATTAAAGATCTTATTAGGAGTGGTAGTGGGTTGTTAGTGATAGAGTTCGAATACACCCTTTGGCACCGATTCTCCCACCTAAGAGATTGCTGGGTCACTGTAATTTACACCTTCACCACCCTATCGAGCCAAGGTGTGAGGGCCCTTGGGGCGAGGGAATTTATCCTTTTGCAGGCAAGAATCAAAAGTGTGTAAAGCCTCTAGCATTCAAAGAAAAGCTATATGAGAGATGAGCTTCAGAAGTTGAAGGTACGATCAATAGATGGAGATTCACAGAAGACTCGATCGATGTATAACCATTTAAAAGCTTATTACTACTCCAGCTTTAACAAAGAACAATAATCCAAGAGAACAAAAAGCACTTATAAAATAGAAAATTTTAATCAAAATAAAAGTATAATCTTAAAAACTTCTTTCCTCTCGGCAGAGGCATCAAAGAGGATGAACAGTATAATAAGATAGGCTCCTTGGCACTCTAACTGATATTCTCGTCAACAGTTCTATCTACTTCTTCCTATACATAATGCACCTCCAACGCTATTATTCCCGGTAAGTTTTAGCCTTTGCTTGGATGGGTTATCCCGGCTCCACCTGTACGATTTTGACCGGTTGAGTGTGTGATTAAATTCACCATTATCTTCCGACCTTTTCGTTTGAGATTTTACCCGGTTGAGTTATCACGACCCTACCAGCACGATCTTGCCCAGTCGAGTGTGATTAAATTCACTTGTTGATTCTCGAAACTTTCGGTTAAGGTTTTGGCCGGGTGAATTTTCCCGGCCCGACCGGTACGATCTTGCCCGGTTGATCAGTTGGTTATATCTATTTGTCACTCATCTTTACCATTGAGTGTACATTAAACAAGTGACCTCATAAGCCTTAACCACTGGGTACTCTGCATGGCTGAGGATCAACTATCATGCTTAACCACTAAACTTAATGTTTTGCAACCAAGTTGCCATGTCTTTGTAGGACAGGCACCACGATGGCCAGAGTGGGTTGTACCCGGTCGGTTGGATCAAACAGAAGAAGGAAAACTACATATAAATCATGTGAGATGAAGAAACATAGGATACTTAAACAAAACAGACAGTCTGACCGATACAAGAACGGGGTCGGCCTCCCAAAAACAAAGGTCAAATCTAAGCTAAAAAGCGAACTCACTAGTAAAAGGAGTACAACGCAGACAAGTCATCAACTCAAGGATCTTGGGTTTTAGTAGAGGGCCGGGATAACTCAACTGAGCAAAACCTCAAAACAAAACGGCTGGGAGATAACAAGTGAATTTAATCACGCACTCGACCGGTCAAGATCGTGCAGGTAGGGCCGTAATAACTCTACCGGGCAAAATTTCAAACGAAAAGGCCAGGAGATAACAAGTGAATTTAATCACACACTCAACCGAACAAGATCGTGCAGGTAAGGCCGGGATAACTCAACCGGGCAAAACCTCAACCGGTATAACATTCTTTGAAAGCAATTGTTTATTTCAAGCCAAGAGTTTTTAGGATGTCGCTTAAATTTGTCAATTAAATAAATAAGAAAATTTTATCTACCATTGTGACAACCTTTGATCTACAAACAACTTTGGCAACATTTTTCAATAAACAATAAATATTAACTTTATCCCTTCAAAAACATAGAAAGTCACAAACAGACATGAAACAAAGAGAATAATTGCAAAACCTTTTCAATTAGATGCAGCAGTTACATGCATGTGTGTGAAATAGGGACCCCTCTGTATTAGAAGAATAACAAAACACATTTCTGATTTCTAATTTTGACAACTCTTAGTCTAAACTTCATCTAGCTGAAATTATTATAGTAATACTCCCAAAAAAAAAAGGAAATGTCGAGTGTTGCATATAATAAAAACTAAGAAAGAATGTAGAACCGATCGGATGTTGGATCAGTTTGACATTTCATTGTGCACTTTCCTGCAGAATTGTATTCGCAAACAATTGACACTAATCTATTCCATCAAGGAGGACAAGGAAAACAAATTAAAAGAAGACATTAGAACACCGAAGAAACAACTTTTAATTTGCTTCATAGATAGGAGAACCAATAGGCAAGATAGGATTTGGAGAGACAATTAGTACACACTCATCAACATCATAGCATGTACCTTGGCCATTGATGAATTCCCGGAGAGAGCAGGATAGATGAATTCCCAGAGAGAGCAGGATAGATGAATTTCAGGAAAGAGCACAATATTTAGTGAACGTGGTGCCTGCATCTACTATCTGCTCCTTGAAACCTTCTTTAGTGTATAACATAAAACAATAGATGTGATTACGTGAAGTATATCTACATAAAGGAAGAATGGCATATACAGATTGTAAATCGGGAACATCTCAAAATCTGATTTTTTAAGATTTTTATTTCAATGAAGTAATTCTATACATAATAGAACAACAATGACACAACTACATATTTCCCTCCTTTTAGATATCAGAGTAAGCAAAAGAGAGCATATCATACATCTTCTACCCACTGCTTTCTCAGAGATTCTAACAAATGATTTCAGAAGCCAATGCAAACCAACCGCCATCAAACAATCTGTTAGAATAACCCCAAAAAGCCCACACAGGTAGCTCAGTTGATTCTTGGGTGGCAAATTGTGGGCAAGGACACAGGATGGATCAAGTCGTGGAAGCCATGGGAGTTTCACCCACTTGTAGGGGTGGCTCTTTGTGGGCACGGGACACTGATCCTCCCACCTAACGGGCCGAGTCACCCTAATTTACCCCTCCACAATCCTATACGGCCGGGGTGTGGGGGACAGGAGAGGGGTTTTGCCTTTTGTGGGCAAGAATAACCCAAAAAATAAAGTTAACTTCATGCAATCTCATTCCTAAGACTCCTTTGAGATCACAAATCGCTTAAACTCGCCTCTCTTCACTTGAATACAAATTATCACAAAAACTTACAATTCCTGAGACCAATGTTATCTTATCTTGTCAAAATATGCAGACAGATTCACAATGTCCCTATATTCTATAATCAGACTTACTCATGTAAGAGAAACCGAAGCAAGTATCAAGTGGAGCAATCACACAAAAACAAACTATAAATGAAATAACAGATTTCATGACTACCAATGACTTAGCCTCTCCCTGGCTCTCATCAGTAATGAAATTATAGATGGACTATATTCTGCGTAGTCATGTTGTGCAGAGTAATAACAACGAGGCGGAAATGTAGGGCATTCCCGGACGGCAAGTTTGAGCTAAATATTACCCTGAGGACGGCCGGAGGGTGGCCGGAGCTCAGCAACTGTGAGCTTTGAGACTGAGAGAATTCATCCCAGTCTACCAGGTCCAGGATGGAAGCTTTAGGATTCCGACTAAGGGTTTGGAGGGTGCCCGAGGGTTTTGAATGGAAAATATCCACAGTGAATAGCGATAAGGTTTAGCCAGAATGTTCGGATTTGGTGGAGAAACGGCGGAGACGATGGTGAAAGTCTACAGCGACATCGGAGAGTTTTGGTGACGGCGGTGAGCTCACTGGGCCCACGGTGGAAGTGGGGAACGGAGCCTCGGAGAGTCGGAGGTAACTAGGTAAAGTGGCCCCTACATTTTTTTTGTTCGGTACTCTTTGTCCAAAATTGATTTTAATTAATTAATTGTTATAAATAGTAATAATTGTAGACATTATTGTGTAACGGTTTCTTTTATGTTTCTATTATTGTATTCTGTTACAAGTTACAATTGTTATTATATATATGTTCTTCTAATGTACTGATCAATTTGTGGTTGAAAGGAATGAGAAACTCTCTATTTTGTCTTTACTATTCTTCTTGTTCTTACGGTTCTTCATTAATGTTCTTCACGAGTTAAAGACTTGCAATACAACACGTTATCAGCACGATACTCTAACCAACTGAAGCTAAATCATGGACAAATAATATCGAATGGGGAGTGTTATAAATAGTAATAATTGTGGACATTATTGTGTAACGGTTTCCTTTATGTTTCCATTGTTGTATTCCGTTACAATTGTTATTATATATATGTCCTTCTAATGTACGGATCAGTTGGTGGTTGGAAGGAATGAAAAACCCTCTATTTTGTCTCTACTCTTCTTCTTGTTCTTACGGTTCTTCATTACTGTTCTTCACGAGCTAAAGACCTGCAAACAAACTTGCAATACAACATTAATTTTAGTTATCTTATGTTCTTGTTAATCATAATGTATCATGTTCGACTTTTATTGACTTTTTTTATTTGAAACGGTTAATTAAGTTGGTGATCATTTGTCAGTTGATGTCAAAATACGGGATTTATCAATGTACATCATCAGATAAAATGTGTTAAAATTGACCAACAACAAAATATAGAGTATACTAAAAATTAAATTAGCGGTAAGGGTCTATCTTTGTGTTATGTATAAAAATAAAAACATGGTGACATGTTTTATTATATTAGTGATAGGGTCTATCTTTATGTTATGTAAAAACATGGTGGGAGATTTATTATTATTATTATTATTATTATTATTATTATTATTATTATTATTATAAGCTAGACATTTTAAGCTATAAAAGTACAACGAGACGTTGAAGTTAGACTAAGGTAATTAGAAAACTATAGTCATATAGTAATGTAAGTTAATACAAGCTAATGAGATGCAAGATAAGAGATTTAAGATGCGCTAATGTGTGAGATTGAAACCATATGTATCTACAATTGCAAGTTACTTATGTTATGCTAACACCTAACAAGTTGGTGAAAGTAGTATATATTATATTATATAATCACAAAAGTAGCTAGTCGATCATGAGTCGTATTCGTACACCTAGATATAGTTATGACAACCTATGTCATTTGTGTTGCAGGTGTAGGTTGGATAGTCTATTTGTAGCAAACTTAAATTAGATGACTAACATGTTTCTCAACCTATTGGATTCGTTTCAGTCATTAACAAAACTAATATTAGATTTGAAAAACTAGGCATACTGTTTGGGTTACTAGGAAATTGAGTTATCTTGTAACCACGTAAAGGTCTTACTTAATATTTCAACCTTATATTTTACCATTAAAATGTTGCTAGATTCATGTAATTGCACATAATTTAGTTTATTTATTAAAAATCATCAGTTATATATCATTTTTTGTATACAATTTTAACGCTTCAGGTACTTAATTAACTATCACTTGTATAATAAAAAAAAATATATTTAGATATATTATTGTCTGATTTGAATACAAAATGACACTCCATACAAAGTAACAATATTACTCACTATGTCCAATTTAACTTATCATTTTATTATTTATTGGTTAAACAAATTATTTATTCGTTGTTTTTTATTTATTACATAGTAATATTAAATTTAATATTATAAATAATTAAATTGTAAATAATTTTAATCAAATTGATTAATTCAACTGGACACAAAAAATAAAATGATGAAATATTAAAATATTAATTAAATCTAACCAATTCAATAAATAAAAAAAGGAAAGTGGTACATAAACAATATTTAAAAATTCATATTTCTCCCTTATCGGTGCATTTGTTGCACCGCAAAACGTGACAACGTCATATTAATCGGTCAACATCAATATTTCTTGAACGCAACATCTATAGGCTACAGTCCGAAACCGAACTCGTGGAATGGGTTCCTATTCCTAATTCCAAGTACTCCGTGTTTGATAGCGAACACTTCCCATTTACTTCACATGCCTTCCTTCATTCAATTACTACAGCCAAAGTCAGAGATAGTCTCCTCCTCCCACCATCTCGCAACGCCCAATTTATTACTCTTCAGATCTTTTCCTGCTCCCGAGTAACTATGTCCGATGCTTTGATCAATGGCCTCGCCGGCGCCGGTGGCGGCATCATCGCTCAGCTCATCACCTATCCGCTCCAAACCGTGCGTTCTACTTTTAAAATTTTCAGTTCATTTCAAAAAAAAAAAAAAACGATTAAGAAAAATTATGACAGGTAAATACGCGGCAACAAACGCAACGAGAATCGAAGGAGGGGAAGAGGAAGCAGCTTAGCACTATTGAGCATATGTGCCAGGTAATTTCCTCTGCTTAGTGTTTTACGAATTTGTTTTCCTCTCTCGGTAGGTTATTTGTTTAGTTACATTGAGTTGTGTGATGGTGATCCGTATCAGGTTGCGAGGCAGGAGGGGTGGGATCGGCTCTACGGCGGTTTGGCGCCGTCGCTGGTGGGAACGGCGGCTTCTCAGGTGCGTTACTTGCTCGATCAGTTTATGCTAATGTGCGCCGTACGCTTACTCCTGCGCTTAATAGTTAATACTCCCCAAATATCATGTTCCTGATTCTCATTAGATACGGCATCTTTTTGCGTGTGCTTCTGTACTAGCAAGGCCTTTGTGATTCCTTAATAACTGGTACTTTGTAAAACTGCTTTTCTTCTTTTATCGTTTTTATTTTTATTTTTGTCCGAAATTCTGAGTTGAGCTCCAAAATCATGAAAACTACCCAAATAATGTGAAGGAAAAAGGGAGATAGATTTATATAGCTTAATAAGTGCAAAATTGAAAGGGTAAGTGAATTTATAAAAGGAGATTTACTTGAAATGTAGATTTTATAAGAGGGAAAATGAATGCATCAATAGTTATTGTTCTTGATTCGTGGTCCCATATTTTTGGAAGTAGTGCCATTCTTTTACACTGGCAATCGAATAGAGCCAAACATCTATTATCTGTATCTTTAACTTTGGTAGCTATTTGTGTGTGTGTGTGTTTTTTTTTTTTGGGAGTGGAAATTAATGTTTTTGCATTTAAGATATATTCTAGACTTTATGAAACATAGCAAAATCGATTATTAATCTGTTATCCTCAGTGCAACTCTGTCTGATAATTTTCTTGTATTAAAATATGGGAATTTCCCAAAGTTGAGGTAGTGCCTGCTTTGGTTTACCTGTACCTACTAATACTATTCAACTTACATTTTGACAAGTAACTCTAAACCACACCCTATGTCACAATCAATTGAAATTTCCCCATCAGTGAGGTTCCTAATAATCGCAATATTTTCAAATACATAATTATATTAGATGATGTTTCTTCAAGTAGTTTCATATTACGTTGGCAATAAGATATCATATATGGTCTATCTTAACTTCAATTTTCTTGGTACAGGGTGTCTATTACTACTTCTATCAAATATTCAGGACCAAAGCTGAAGTTGCTGCCCTTGATCGTAAGAGGAGAGGGATTGGTGATGGTTCAGTTGGAATGTTATCATCACTTGTGGTTGCTGCTCTATCTGGGTAATTCACTACAGCAATATTGGTCAATGCATATAGATAGACTGCGAATAGGGGCTCTGTAGATGTCAATATTTTTCATCCAGAATTGGATTCTTATTCTCACTTGATACTGGTTGACATTTTTTCTTTTCTGTTGTTGTATTGTTTTCCCTTTTTGTCAGACAAGTTTCATTAATCTACAAGCAGTATTGAACTGTTCTGTTTTTCTATTTTATTGTAGGTGTGTTAATGTGCTGCTGACTAATCCAATTTGGGTAGTTGTCACTCGCATGCAGGTAACTTATCCTTCTAAAGAGGACATACAATCTCATTTACTTAAGTTTTAATGTAATGATGATATTCAATGATGTTATGAATTGATATATGATTATTACCCCTTGTTTTCAGTGTGAGTTAAATCTGGTATGTGATTTCTTTTTATGGTCTCTTCTTTTGAAGTTTTGAACATTTTACTACCAGTGACTGATTATATTGGTCTGCATCACATAATTAGAGGAAGTAAATTATATTCTTCTTTAGATTCAATTTTGGCATATTACATTCTTCTTTATGTTATATACAATGCCTATTACTTGCAATGATGTTAAGATCTCATATTCCAGGATTAGAGACTTAACTCAACCACATTTCAAGGGTTTGAAATTTGAGAGGAAAAATAGTCTAATATAAAAACAAATAATGTGTTCAGCATTTTATGTAGACATCTTGCTCAGATGTATAAGTAATTATACATTTAATTCTGTTTAGCCTTGGTACATTGAGAATCTGTATTTTATGTTTGTATGCCATTTTCTCTTTCCTCGACAGTGCATTACATACTCGAAGCATATCTCTACTCACACTCAAGTACACCTCTGTGTGTGTTAAGCTTCTAGCAGATTTTAACTAATTCTTTGAACTTCTTCCTTTCATTCATATGTGCAGACTCATTCAAAAAAGGCCAAAAATAGTCCAACTGGAGCTATGACAGCAGAGGATGCGATTCTTGCAGCAGTTGAACCTCCTCCTTTTGGGACTACCAATGCCGTGCGTATAATCATGTTCTTCATATAGGATGCTACTCATGCTCCAAATGGAACCGCTGTGCATAAATAGAAACCAAATTTTCGTAAACCTTTTAGGGTGTGTTTGGTTAACATGTTTAACTCTAAGGAATGGGTATCAAAGTGATTGATATTGTTTGGTTGATAGGTTTTTAGAACACTACAATGGGTTTCAAAGGCCCCCTTAATTGAAAAACCCATACCCAAATAAAATAAGGGTATCATCCCCTTTCATTCCCTTATTCCTTCTCATCCCTTTTGATTAGTGCTTTTATATTTTTGTTTTTATTTTTTTGTTCATATTGGTGTTTTCGATGTCTTTATATTAGAATCAATTGTCTTGATTTTGTGTTCTTGTATTTTTAAAATCTTTATTCCCATTATAGGATCATACATAATCAAACAACATTATTCATAATCATTCCCATTCCACCCTACTACCAAACATGCAAAATACTTTCACTAAAACCCATTACCATTACCAAGTATTTGATACCCATTCCGGTTCTGTTCCCATGTGCGAACCAAACACACCCTTAGAATTTATTTTAGCATTTGATACAACAGTTTGCTTATAGTTTCCTAATAGGGAACATTTGCTTTACATAGATACAAGAAGTCTATGATGAAGCTGGATTTTGGGGATTCTGGAAAGGTGTTATCCCAACGTTGATCATGGTATGTGAGATCACACTCTCCTACGTTTTATGGGATTAATGGCTGCTGATTATTCTCTCTTTTTAATACAGGTAAGCAATCCATCCATACAGTTTATGCTGTATGAGACCCTACTGAAAAAGCTTAGAAAACGGCGTGCCTCCAACAATAAAGCCTCTGATGTTACTGCTTTGGAGGTAAAATGCACAATCTAGTTTAAAAATTTCATGTGGCATCTATTATAAAACTCATATGAGCATCATGCTTGGCTAGATATTTTTGCTTGGTGCATTGGCAAAACTTGGAGCTACTGTCGTAACATATCCTCTTCTGGTTGTTAAGGTGCAATGCCCTTAAACTCGAAATATTTTTTTTATTGTGATGAATGTCTTAATATCATCATACTTGTATGAAGAAATTTGTGTGTGTGCTGTGTGCACACGTGTGAAGTATGAGATATTGTACTGAAGGACAAATTGGGTTGATATTGGGGTGTGAGTTTTCATTTAGGGGTTTTGAGAGGCAAAGATGGTAAAATTTTGCCACGTTTATTTTAAATGGCCTTGTTTTAACACCACCAATTTACAGCTATTGTTCTTGTTCTGCATTGATGTTAAAGTTGAGAATAATGGAGCAACAGTGTGCTTTTTGTGTGATACTAGTTCAATGCTTCTCTCAGCTTTCTAAGTTGAGACACTGCATAACTAGCGGTGTCTGCTTTTATTGCTTTTGTTAGTGAATAGTATGTGGTTCTGATTCACTGGGTTATGTAATACTATGTCCAAGCTTAGGAGTATGGGAAAATATCATGGTGCTTTTGTTGATAACTACAGGGATAACTAAGCATTTAGCTGTGAAACTAAACCTTATAAAGATAATTGAGTGTCTTGGTTAGCTGTAAACACATTCCCCATTTTGCTGTCGTGTCTTTGCTGCAGCTTCATGGTTGCACGGTTTATCAGTTCTTTTGGTGTTTAGGAAGTTAATGGTTGGTTTTTTATTCTAGAAACTGTTGAAACTCCAAAATCTGTGTGATTCATTAAATTTCTTTTAGCTAAAATAATTTCTGTGCCCTGCAGGCTAGACTTCAGGCAAAGCAAGTTCTTGGAGGTGATAAAAGACATCAATATAAAGGTTAGTACTTTTGTTTTTTGTAGATCTTATAACTGGAAAGCTATATATATATATATATATATATATATATATATATATATATATATATATATATATATATATATGGGCGTTTGTTAGGGGGGAATTGCCTCCTTAATTCCCAAAGGTGAAAAATTTCATTGCTTGGTTGGAGGTAATTGAAATTCCTTTCAATTCCTCCATTTTGTGGAATTAGAATTCCAAGGTTCCCCCCTAGGATTTTAAATTCCATGCTACTTGGGAAGAAAATTGGCTTGTTAGGACCAAAATACCCCTTCCCAAATTTTAATAATATTATAATTTATAATAATAATAATATTATTATTATTATTATTATTTTTTTATTATTTTGTTATTATTATGGAATTTATTTTATTTTAATTCAGGGATGAGGGCCAAATAAGTCCTCTAACTATATTGATTTGTGCAATAAGACCCTTCAACTTCAAAAAGCTCCAATTTGAACAAATAATTGATGATTAGATTTTTTCAAATTGATTAAGCGGGCTGATGTGGCATCTACAATCTACATATTTTTAAAAATGATTATATTAAAATTGATTTTTAATTAGTAGTATAATAGCAATAATAGATTTAAAAATCTTCTGTTGGTTGTTCGTTGTTGACCGCTGGCTCACCGCTGACCGTCAGCCATTTGCCGTATCGCATACGTTTCGTTGCCTTCTTCCTGGAGGATGGCATCGTGGCCTTCTTCCGTGAAGAAGGCGTCGCGACCGTCTTCCAGATTTGGAAGAAGGTCGCCGCTGCCTTCTTTGAGATCTGGAAGAAGGATCGTGTGACCTTCTTCCAGGTCTCTGGTCTGGAAGAAGGCCAGTGCTGCCTTCTTCCAGATTTGGAAGAAGGCAGTGATGGCCTTCTTCCAAATTTGGAAGACAGCCGTGGCGGTGACAGGCAAAAAGACCGGTGGGCGTAGTGATGGCAGTTAAAATATTTTTATTTTATTTTTTGAAAAAAGCAAACAAATAAACAATAATATTACACATGTGAAATGACATTAACCTGTAAATAACTGGTAAAAAGGGATTAATTGATTAATGTCTTTGAATTCAAGGATCAAATTGGAACATTTTAAAGTTCAAGGGCTTAATTGCACATTTCAGTATAGTTAAAGGCTTATTTGACCCTTATCTCTTTAATTTATTTATTATTATTATACAAAGACATTTTGGTCTTTATACTAATTTCTTTTCAATTCCATCAACCAAACAATGAAATTTAAATTCTTACTACATTCCCTCATTATTCCTCTCCCATAAGAAATACATTTTCCCTTAACTGCAACCAAACGCGGATCTGGTTTACAAGTTAATGAAATATATGAAGTGGAATTCAGTATAATGGTCACTGTAGAACTTTAAAAATCCACTTGGGCATCCATATTGTGTCTTTGTGAGTGGACTACTCACAGAGTCACAATCCATTAACATATCTCATCTTTTCCAATGTACTCTCTTCCCATGGCCTCTATTATCATTTCAAATATTTTATATTATTATTTTCATTTATTAACCCATGTTAGAGGAATAGGGTGTTAGTTGAGAGCATCTATCTTAGTCTTAGGTTTAGGTGTTTGAAATCTATGGCTAGGATTAACTCTTGTCTTGTATAAATAGCTCTACACTTCTTTGTACATCTACACAAAACATAAGAAATATACAAGTTCAATTCATTGTTTAACATGGTATCAGAGCGAGATTAAGGTGACTGGGTAGTGGGCGTGGGTTGGAAAGAGGAGGCGACGCTGTCAGGAGAGGCGGAGTAGCCACCGGAGTCCTCACGCGACGGTGCAGTCCTAGGGTTTCGACGCCACGCGTTGGCGCGTGCGCACTGGTCCGGCGTCTTCTCCAGTCGCGACGTGCACTATTGGGCTCGTCTCTGTACGCCCGACACATCTGCAGTGGTGGTGTAGCCCGGTGTTGAGGAGATTTTTGGTGGCTGCGATGTCTTCATCTCCTGCTGCGTAAGTGGTGCGAAAATTCCAGCTGGGAAAATTGAAGGTTGCTGCTGGTCGAGAGAGAGAAACCAGCGAGAGAGAGAAAGCCGAGAAAGAGACCGCCGGAGAGAGATGGTAGGGGAGGTCTATGAAGTTGGGTGGTCTGAGGTCCACGAAGCTGGGTGGTCTCATGGCTACAAAATAAAATGGCGTGGAGGTCTAGTTGATGAATGCTTCTGGAAAGTAATTGGAAGCATAATGTGTGGTTAGGTTTGTGCTGCTGATGAGGAATAATTAGGCAGTAGGTTCTTTTGTTTATCGTTGTTTATCGTATTAATAAGTTTTGAGCTTTGTGTTTGGTTTATCATAGTTTGTCGCTTTAAGTTAATTTGATATGGGAGCAATTCTAGGGTCTGAGTTGGGTCAAGTGTAGCTTGTTCAGTGTGCGTAAACAAGGGTGCTGCAGGAGTGGGCAACACAGGTGCCAGGAGTGGGGTGGACCTGGCATATGCCTCGGGGAAGGCCGACGGCCGAAGAATGATTCAGAGTGAATTGGTTTACGTGCATGCACTAGGGAAACGCTGTGGTGTTAGGCAGCGTTGATAAGGGTGCATGGTGAGAGGGACAGGTGCACTGTGGTCTAGCAGCGCTAATGGTTTGTGGAGTGAGAGGCAGGTACGCTGTGGTGTTAGGCAGCGGTGATAAGGGTGTGGGGTGTGAGAGGCAGGTGCGGCGCTTGGTGATTGGCCTAGCTTTTGTTGGCTCCGTAGAAGTGCTGTTGGTGCAACAAGGTGCGTTGTGGATTGGTTTGGCACAACGTGGTTTGAAGGTTGTTCGAGTGGTTCAAGACTTGGGCGTTAGCCTTGGAAGTTACGAGTCTAGGTGCGGAGTCCTATGGTTCATGTGATACATGGATGCTCCAACTTGAGGGAGAGTGTTAGAGGAATAGGGTGTTAGTTGAGAGCATCTATCTTAGCCTTAGGTTTAGGTGTTTGAAATCTATGACTAGGATTAGCTCGTCTTGTATAAATAGCTCCTACGCTTCCTTGTACATCTACACAAAACATATAGAAATATACAAGTTCGATTCATTGTTTAACAACCCATTTGAATTAATTAATACTTTGAATTAAACAATCATATTTATATTCTAATTTAATTATAATTATTTTACATACAATTTATGATTTAAATATAATGTAATTACTACAATGGCAAAAGTAACAAAATGTTGTCTACCATTGTTAATTGCCTAGCTGATGCACCTAGGCTTTTTTTCATTGCCTACCCCGTGGCATTTATTTGGTCCCGACCCATGTCTGGATACAACAGTGTATTTGGACATTAGTGAGGTCAAATATTTTCCCTCTCACCATTGTAATGATTGTATTGTGTCTGAATATTGGATGAAGTCCTATCCAGAATATGGGATATTGGGGTGCCTTACAGAATGGAAATTCGGAAGATACTTGTTCATAGTTGTTGCAGTTTGGTAAACATGTATATCTAATTTGGATACTTAATGAATTTTAGGCACATTCGATGCCATCCTGAAGATGATGAACCATGAAGGTTTCTACGGGTTTTACAAGGGGATGAGCACCAAAATTGTACAGAGTGTTCTCGCAGCTGCTGTATTATTCATGGTGAAGGAAGAACTTGTCCGAGGTGCTAGATGGCTATTAACTGGAGTTCCTGCCAACTCTACTACATCAAGGCTCCGGTGACAATTGACAAAGGGTTTACCCATATAGTCCACACCAATATCTATGATACTACCCACCCTACAGGTCTATCAGAACCAATCAGAAGTTGGCACTTGGCAGGAACAACTATCTACAGCATTAGGATTCGTACACTTGTTATTAAGGATAGATCATTTAAGATTGAAGATTATTAGGGATAATTGTTCCACTTCATTAGGGTTTATTCATAAATTGTAATCAGGCAAAGGTAAAAAAAAAATAAAAATGGACTCAATTTTTGTTTCCTTAACTTGGAAGGAGACTGCACGTGGTTATGGATAAGGCCACGCATCGTATTTTATAAATATATGAAGATTGATTATTTATGAATTGCAAGCATAAAACAGAACAATTTTTGTTATCCTGCTGCAATCACTGGACGAGTGGATAAGGCCTCGGATTCTACTATCCTAGGACCGGAACAGCAGAAGTTCTCTCCAAATTGGAGTCTGGTAAGCAGACAAAGTGTGAGTGTTAAACAGTAGGATGCTATTAAATTAATGAAAGTGGCATATAATTAACACACGTACAGTGGGTATGAAGCCAAGCCACTGGCCAGCGATGAAATAAAAAAGCTCCAAGACGACAGCATGAGAAAAAGCTTCTGCAAAAAGTCTACGCGACTAATAATTGAAGTTTGCTCAATCTGTATAGTGTCTAGTGCTAAGGCCGGATTCATGTGCCTTCCTGTTCTTCGTTGAGGTTCCGCCGTTCGCCGTGCGATTTCTTCCGTTCTTGTTTCTATAGTTCTAGCGTTGACTCGAAAATCTGATTATCTTTGCAGCGGAAAATATATGGAGGAGAGAAATCCGACGAGGATGGGTGGCGAGTATGATACTGTGTGGGAGTGCGTTATACCTTACATCCAGGAGTCGCGTGACCGCGACGCGGTGTCGCTGGTGTGCCGGAGGTGGTACGAGATCGACGCCGTCACTAGGAAACATGTGACCATGGCTTTCTGCTACACCGCCACACCGCAGCAGCTCTCCCGCCGCTTCCCCCATCTCCGCTCACTCAAGCTCAAGGGCAAGCCACGCGCCGCCATGTTCAGCCTCATCCCGGAGAACTGGGGCGGCTACGTCACCCCCTGGCTGGAGGAGATTTCCCGCTCCTTTCCTCAGCTAAATACGCTTCACTTCCGTCGAATGATTGTCACGGATGCGGATCTAGAAATGCTTGCCCGTACTCGTACCAATCTGCTTCAGGTTCTCAAGCTCGATAAGTGCTCTGGATTTTCCACCGACGGCCTTTTACATATTTGCCGTTCCTGCAGGTAACACTTTCTTATATCAACTGGATTCCACGTTAGTTTAAGATATATTGCTTGAATCGGGCCTAATTTTGTGGCTTCAATCCTATGATATTGTGCTTTAATTTTTTACATGTTTATATTTGTTGGAAAACATTAAATGCGTATTTCAATCCTATGATTAAATGGCTTCTTTTGCATATTTATCATGTATATTTCCGCATCTGTAGGAACCTAAGAACACTGGTTCTTGAAGAGAGCGCTGTGACTGATAATGATGGAGATTGGTTGCATGAGCTTGCCTTGAATAATACAGTTCTTGAGAATTTGAACTTTTACATGACAGAGCTCTTCAAAATCAGATCTGAGGACATTGAATTGGTAGCCAAAAATTGCCCTGCTCTTGTCTCCATGAAAATTAGTGATTGTGATGTGTCAAATCTATTTGGTTTCTTTCGAACTGCAACTAAACTGGAAGAGTTTGCTGGCGGTTCCTTTTGTGTCGGTGAGAATGAGAACAATGAGCAACTTAGAAGGTACTCTGCAGTGTCGTTTCCACCAAGGCTATGCTCCTTGGGTCTGACATTCTTAGGGATACATGAAATGCCAATTGTCTTCCCGGTTGCTTCCCTTCTCAGAAAATTGGATCTTCTATATGCCTGTCTTGACACAGAAGGACATTGCGTATTACTGCAAAAGTGCATCAACTTGGAAGTTCTAGAGGTTAAATCTTATAATCTTTACTCATCCTTTTATGTCTTTCATTGAAGTACTTAATGATTGTAAGTTTAAACCCTCATCACTTTCATATGAACAGACAAGGAATGTAGTTGGAGATCGTGGACTAGAAGTTGTTGCTTCGTCTTGCAAGAGACTAAGAAGGCTTAGGATTGAGCGAGGAGATGACGAACAAGGAATGGAAGATGTAGAAGGAGTAGTTACTCAAAGAGGATTAATTGCTTTAGCCCAAGGATGCTTTGAGCTGGAATACTTGGCTGTATATGTAACTGACATCACAAATGAAGCTCTAGCGTACATTGGGAAATACTTGAAAAACCTCTGTGATTTTCGTCTCGTTTTGCTTGCTCAAGAGGAGATAATAACAGACCTTCCACTTGACAACGGAGTCCGATCTCTATTAAAAGGTTGCCATAATCTTATAAGGTTTGCTCTCTATCTTCGACCTGGGGGATTAACAGACGTGGGACTTGGTTATATTGGGCAGTTCAGCGCCAACATAAGATGGATGCTTCTAGGATGTGTTGGAGAATCGGATGACGGACTTCTGCAGTTCTCGAAGGGGTGCCCGAGCCTACAAAAGCTCGAAATGAGGGACTGTTCCTTCAGCGAACGTTCACTAGCTATAGCAGCCAAACAGCTGAAATCTCTGAGATACTTGTGGGCGCAAGGGTATCGGCCATCTCCAAATGGTTGGGATCTCTTATACATGGCTCGGCAATTCTGGAATCTCGAGCTTATTCTTGACACTGATCAAAGTGGTACAACCGCAATCTCTGAGCACCCAGCCCATCTCCTCGCATACTATTCACTAGCTGGGCGAAGAACAGATTCTCCTGAAACTGTCATCTGCTTCGACCCAAATGCCCTTGCATTTTAGGACTTTTACCCACTTTTTCCTTGATCTAATCTATCCATTAGTCACTTGTGTTTTACCTTCTACTAAATAGTCTTTTCCCCATTGATTTCTAGTTTTTGGTAATCTTGCAGCAATGCAATAAACATTGATTGTGTTGTAAACCATAAGAATAGTGTACTTGGTGCTTAGTTGTTTACCTCCTAAAATTGTATAAATTGTCTGCCATTTCTTGATTTGGACAATGCTGTTAGTGTCTTTCTCTTCCATTAACACTTAACAGGAGTAGATAAGCTTTTTCTGTTCTGTACTGTATTAGAAGATGATGATGCATCATGGAAGGGATAGCTATGAGGGGGGGAGGGGGCTTCCCCTTTCATTTCCTCCTTTTCCTTGAAGGAAAAAGGGGGGGAGGGGGGAGATGAAAAAAGAAAAAGGAGCTAGACTCAAAGTTTGAGACTTTATACTAGAGAAAGATAATTGAAGACCATGATGCTAGTTTTGTTTATTCGACCACCGATCACTTCTAATGATAGGGCAATTTATACCGCGGACTAGGGTTCACATAGCATTGTGTATCCTAGATCAAAACGATGTCGTTTAGATATTTAAGCTTTAACAGATTTTTTAGTTTCTTGTTTATCATGTTTTCAACATAAATTTTAATTTATTCTAGGTACAAAATCAATACTCTTAAAGTACAAAATTTCATAACCCGACACACAAAAACTCTTAAAGTACACTAGACACATACACATATTATGTATTTACTTATTTTCAAATTTGATTTATGTAGATAATATATGTCCTATAGGCACATAATTTCATAATACAAGACATAATTTCGTAAACTAAGACACACAATATGTTGTGTGTTACACAACTACTAATATATTTCAAGTACAGAATTCATACGCTTAAGATACATAATTGCATAAAATGAGACACAGAAATGCATAACACAAGACATACACATGTTTTATATTTACTTTAGTTCAAGTACATAATCAATATTCTTAAAGATACAGAATTGCATAATATAAGACACAAAAACGCATAGTATAAGGCACAAAACCGCATGTTATATTTATTTTATTTCAAGTATAGAATTGCATAACATGAGATACAGAAACACATAACACAAGACACATATATACACATGCTTTACCAGGAAAAAAAAATCTTGTAATGTGAATTGAACAACAAACGATCGCCGTCAAAATTAAAATTCAAAACTACGTCGTTTAAGACCATGGTCCACAGTATAACGATTCCAATGATAGTGTGGGGGTTCAAAAGGGTTATTGGATTTGACTGATTAGAGGATAATGGGAATTTGGAAAGCATTGAGAGACCTTGACCGATTAGAGTAGATGAAGATCTCTTGTGCGTAAAGTATGAGTGTATAAGCAAGGATGCGAATCTGAGGAGGACTAATAGGGTGACTTGCGATTTACCTAATGTATTAAAAGAAAGAAAGATATGTGAAACCCCATTCAAAAGTATTAATCAAAGTTGTAAAGAAAGTGGATATTGAGATTGGTTTGTCATGCAAGCTCCTGTAGAAATGATGGCCCATCACATGCATCATAAGTCACATTGTACATACAATACAAGCCTTCAAAGTGTAAATTGTCAGTCATCTTTTCCCAAAGGTTGCCTTCATGGGGCCATGGCTGACATCTCTGATCTGCAAAAAGGTTAGTTAACCTCTCCAATTGAGAATCAAGTTGTTATCGCTATCATGTAATCGAATGTTTTTTTATAAATCTTTTAATCAATTTTATTATACTCACTATTATATATATTTTCAATAAAAGAAGTGAATTTGAACATCAAATCCTTATGTGGATGTGAATTGAAGATTTGATTGTCAAGAGTGGAATGCACATTCAATCCTTGCATTGTGAGAGTGATGTGTATCAAACTTTAGTCAACTTGGCCAAATTTGTAATTAGAATAATTAAGAGGAGGAAAAAGCATATAATATAATCTTGGAATGGCAGAAAGCATAGTTAAAGAATGGGTGGAATGAAAGATTAAATAAAAAAAAGGAGAATGTTTGATTATTGTCATAAATATTGATGGTTTGGATTTGAGCTTTTATTTGACTCTTTCTGCATAAAAGTGTATAGTTTGATGTTGAATTTCGAAGTTAGATTAAAAGAATCTTTAATAAATTTATGAGGTCCAAGATATACTCTAAAGTTTAGAAAAAAATTGTAGTTATTAAAAAGAAATCTGAAGTAGTGCATTCTGACAAGAAAGCCTGAGTCAGCTAATTGGATCACTTGTTCAAAGTGACATGGCAGCTTCAAATATGTTAAGCAGCATTCCCAAAAATATTCTTCAATTATTTATTTCTTTATAGAATTAACATTATTATATTTATTTTCTACATGACCCAATAGGTTATAGGCTAAGTATATCAATTCATTTTGGTTTTTTCTAATCACTGGACTCTTGCAAGTCACTTGGTTATTGCCAATAGGTTATCTCATCCATCACAAACTCAATATAAATACCTTTATTCACTCGATAATGCTAAGGTCATTCAAGTCCAAATACCCGATTGGGATCACTATAACTTAATTAAGAGCATGTCTATCGGTGGAATTTGTTCAATTTTTTAGGATAATAATGCTTATGTGGAGTTTGCTAAGTTTTTACGATAGCAATGCTTATGTGGAGAAGAGAGAAAGAAATGAGTCTTTGCAGGAAATGTGGTTTGGATTGAACATGTGGAGCCCGCATGGAGAAAATGTCTGCTCGATCAATGTTCGCGCGTTCAGCGCAACTTGCGCTCCCAGCGTGTAAAAACTTCTATATTTTTTTTCTGACGATTGTTTTTTGTTTTTGTTTTTGTTTTTGTTTTTGTTTTTTTATTTTTTTTTATTTTTGTTCTCTTTCATCTTTCCTTGTAATATAACAAAAAACCCTTAAAAAACCATGCCTATTGGAAATGCTCTGAGTGATTATCACTAGCTAACTCCAATGCAGATTATAATAGATTAATAGCATCTCTTAGCTTGATATTCACTCTAAGACTACAACTCCAAGTTAGCTATCACATTTACGCGTACATGTCTAAATTATAATGATTTGTGCGCAATTGCTAGATTTCATTTAATGTGTAAATACTTTTTATTTGTATCAAAAAAAGATTCTCAATTAATCTAAGATACATGGTACTTAGCTCGTAAATCATTCCGAATGACTAGAACCCCTTCAGTTTTCATTCAAACACTTCTCAACTTTCACCACGCTTAAATACTCATCCCAAATCATTTGTTAATTTATGGTAAGATTACCGAAAATATTAAACACTATCAAATTAAACCTATCGTTTTACATATCATCAACATTATTAATATAATAATAATGTTTTTTTATACCTTCCCACATATATCAACCTATTCAACAACTTCTAATTACTAGCTAACTTTGGATTAACTTTCAGCTTAGCATGCAAGGAACAAATGAGTAAATGAAATTCAAGGTGCCTTCATTACACAATCCTTCCTTCTCCCAAAAGGTTGAATCTCCAACTCCAAGACACCGATCCGACAAAACATTTGGAAGTATGTAAATCACGGGGACTCAATGACTCAACAGACAGCATCAAATACCGATGTAGATGTACAAAAGATCTGTCTATTTTAAACATAATCCCACACTGACCAAAATTCGAACTTTAGTCTTTTCTCTCAAATACTAAACCAGTAGCTAAGCCGGTGCGGGCTTCATTACACAATCCTTTTGAGATGAAATTATTTCACTAAACATTTACAAGCACCAATAATAATTCTACAGTTTAAATATCTTCAAGCAGCTGAAGCATATGCTCCACAGGGCCGGATTTGGGGCTGTGCAAGCTGGGCTACCGCACAGGGCCCCCAGTTTTAGAGGGCCCCCAAATTTTAGAGGCCCAGTATAGTAGTATACCTAATATACCTCACAAATTAAAAAAAAAAATTCTGAGGAATAAACTGATCAGTTTTCTCCGTTAATTAAACAAATTTTTTTTTTTTTTTTTTACAATTAAACCGATCAGTTTTCTCCAACGTTAATTAAAATTTATGAAAGAATTAATTGAGTAATCAATAATGTTGTTTCCCGATGTTTCTTTGTCTTCTTTGCCGATTCATGATTGGCAGGGCCGTAGAGGATTGAGAGGAATAAGTTCAGAGATTCAGAGTTCAATTCATCTTAGTCTTCTACTCTTCTAGTCTTCTTCGACGTCCACACTTCTGCGTTTCCGGCAAAGGCTGCACACTCCACGAATTTCATCTTAGTCTTCTACTCTTCTTATTCTTCTAGTCTTCTTCGACAATTCTGCACGGATTCACGGAAATACGGAATCGGGAAGACTGGAAGCGGTGAAGTCTTCAATCTTAAACCTGGGCGTTTCCTCCTTATTTGCATCTTTGTTTTTAAATCATATATATCATTATTAGTTAATAGTTATCACGCCGGCAAGGCAATACGAACTCTGGACTCTGGACTTATTGGATTCTGCGCTTTTCTGGACTCTGGACTCTGGAGTTCTGGCTTCTTGCCTTCTTCCTTATGCGGTTCTGCCCCTTCTGGTCACTGACTCACTGGTAAGCAACTCAGCAATCATAATAAATTTATTCTGCGTTTTGTTTTAATCAATTTTTTTTTTTGAAAAATTGTTTTAATCATTTTTTTTTTGAAAAATTGTTTTAATCAAATTTATTATGCATTTTGGCACTTTTTGCAAGTCTTGTTGTAGATATTATAGATTCTGTGGCGGTGTACTCGGTGTTGGCTTGTTACCGGGAGACGGGGAGAGGCGGGAGTGCTGCTGTGCTGGTCGGCGTGACGGCAGTAAGGCAGTAACCGACCAAGACAATAAACAAAAAATAAGGACTTTTCAATCAGGTTGTTTCAATCCTTTTTAACTTTAAATTTTTAATTTTTAATTTTATATGTTATATGTGTAATGTGATTGCTCCTTGCCTCTTTGTTAGAATATTGTTGTTTGATAACTTTGATTTCAATTGCTGAATCTGTGAATTGCATATTATGGCTCCCGGCATTAGGAAATATGAATCTGGTTATGAAAAACGTAAGAAACAAAAAAAAAATGAAGAGTTACAACAATTACAAAGAGGAGCATTAGATAAGTTTATAATTAAAACACCACAAATTTTTTCTGAAAATCCAAATGTTGGTGTTGATGTTGATAATGAAAACAATGTGGATAATCATGATACTAATGTTGAAAATGGTAACAATGTGCATATTAATATTGAAAATATTGATCAAGTAGAGAATGAAAAAATGAATAATTCACCCAACAATGATGATGATGCAGATGCTTTATATGAAACTAACAATTGTGATATTTTTGATCCAAGAAATTGGGATGGACTTGATTCGAAAATGATTGATTTATTAGTAATCAATGGTCCTAAGAGAGATAATTCTATTGTAAAAGGTCCTAAAGATAAGTTTTCTAGGCAATTTAATGCAAATTTGTATACTAGGGTCTTATCAAATGGCGAAAAATGTGATAGAGAATGGTTAGTTTACTCAAAAGAGCTTGATAGAGTTTTTTGTTTTTGTTGCAAAATCTTTAAAAATGGTATTGGTAGAGGTCAATTAACAAATGAAGGTTTCAATGATTGGGCTCATATTGGTGAAAGACTTAGAGAACATGAGACATGTATGGAGCATATTAAAAATATGACGACTTGGTATGATTTGCGTCAAAGGTTTAAGAAAAATCAAACCATTGACAAAGTTGCTCAAGGATTAATTAAAAAGGAGAAAGATCATTGGAAAAGAGTTTTGTTAAGAATTATTTCTTTTGTTAAGTTTCTTGGCAAACGTAATTTAGCCTTTCGGGGTACTAATGAAAAATTGTATCAAAATGGCAATGGAAATTTTTTAGGCTTAGTTGAGATGGTGGCCGAATTTGACCCTATTATCCAAGAACATGTTAGGCGTATTAAAAATGAAGAAATTTACTTTCATTATCTTGGTCATAGCATTCAAAATGAATTAATATCTTTGCTTGCTTCCTCGATGAAATCTGAAATATTAAAAAAAATAAAGCAAGCAAAATACTTTTCTGTAATACTTGATTGTACTCCTGATATTAGCCACAATGAACAAATGTCATTAATAATAAGATATGTTGATGTCTCTACACATCAAGTTAATATTGAGGAGTCTTTTTTAGGATTTTTGAATGTGAATGATTCAACTGGACTAGGTCTTTTTAGTACTTTGCAAAATGAATTGCATCTTCTTAATCTTAATATTTTTGATATACGTGGACAAGGTTATGATAATGGGTCAAATATGAAGGGTAAACATCAAGGTGTGCAAAAAAGACTTTTAGATGAAAATCCTAGAGCTTTTTATACTCCATGTGGTTGTCATAGTCTTAATTTAGTTTTATGTGATATGGCAAATGCTTGTAGTAAAGCAAAAGATTTTTTTGGAGTCATACAACGTATATATACAATTTTTGCAAAATCTACCAAGAGATGGGGTATTTTGAAAGATAATGTACATGGTTTAACTCTTAAGTCATTATCTTCCACTCGTTGGGAGAGTCGTGTTGAGAGTGTTCAAGCCATAAGATTTCAAATGGTAGAAATACGAGAGGCTTTACTCCAAGTTGCAGATGTTGATAGTGATTCCTTAGTAAGAAGTGAAGCTAAATCTCTAGCAACAAATGAACTTGGTGATTTTGAATTTTTGGTGGCTATAGTAATATGGTTTCATATATTGTATCGTATTAATTTTGTTAGCAAGTACTTGCAATCCAAAGACATGCTTATTGATGTTGCTTTCGAAAAAATTGAGGAATTGATTTCTTTTTTTGAGAAATATAGAGAAAGTGGTTTTAATGATGCCTTGGATTCTGCTAAGGAAATTGCTATTAAAATGGATATAGACCCCGTTTTTCCTAAGAGACGTGAAATCCGTAGAAAAAAACAATTCGATGAAAATTCAAATGCATCATTAGAAGTTTCATTATCTGCAGAAGATTCATTTAGAGTTAATTATTTTTTTTTCATTGTTGATCAAGCTGTTGTTTCTCTTAAAAGTAGGTTTGAGCAATTTCAAGAGTATGAGAAAATATTTGGTTTCTTGTTTAATTCTGACAGGTTAAGTTCTTTAGATGATATGAGTTTGAAGTCTTCCTGTAGTCGTCTTGAAAATTCTCTTAAGCATAATGGACATTCGGATATTAATGGAGATGAGTTGTATGTGGAGTTAAAACTAAGAAGAGAGTTGTATGTTAATGAAAAACTAGGACCCATTGAAATTTTGAAAGATTTGGAATTGTTTGATTGTTATCCTAATGCAGTTATTGCATACAGAATTTTATTAACTATTCCTGTTACTGTTGCATCTGCAGAAAGAAGTTTTTCCAAGTTGAAATTGTTGAAGTCCTACTTACGCTCTACAATGTCACAAGAACGGCTTAACGGATTAGCAATGATATCTATTGAAAATGATCTTTTGGATAAAGTAGATTATGAAGAGTTGATTGATGAATTTGCATCAAAGAATGCTAGAAGAACATCTGTTTTTAAATAAAAGATCTCTAATTTGCATTATGTTAGAATTTTATTTATAATAAATAAAGTTGTTTGAATTTTTCTTCTTTATATTGAAAATCATATATAAATAAAAATCATATATTTAACGATATTGATTTTAAATATTGCGCTTATACTTTTGATAGAGACCGTAGGGCCTCATTTATTTAGGAGCACAGGGCCACAAAAAACTAAAAAACGGCACTGATGCTCCATAACCCCCTTAGCATTCAACACCTCTGATGGATACGCCATGAAAGAAGTGCCCGAAACACTACAGAAGCTAAGCCACCATAGCTGCTCCGATCCAAACCTCTTCCAAATGTGGTCGGAAATTAAAGTAGATTTTTTCAAAGGTTAGTTTCAAAATTTTCCGACATCTTTAATTTGATGGAGGTACGGTTATATTTTCCAACCACCTTTATCTCTGGTTAAAAAAGTGATCAATAAACGCAAGATTTCTTTAATCCCTCTCTTCCTAGAACCTTCAATCCCACAATCATCCATGGAAGAGGACTGAAATCCACTCAAAAAATGTTGATCAAAGTTGTGAATAAGAAAGTGGAGGGTGAAATTGGTTTAATTTGGTTTGGTCTTATGGAACCACAATACAATTGGTGGCCCATCTCATGCATCATATCCCACATTGCACAAAAGCTTAAAGTATAAATTAAATTTTCACTCATCTTTTTCCAAAAGGTTACTTGACATGGCTGCAAAAAAGTTTACCTCTCCACCTACCAGTTGATGATTCGGGCTCGAAATTTACTGTGATCATTTTAAACAAAAATAAGAAATAAATTAGTTTAAGAATCGAACCTTGAATTTTTTTTCTTAAAGTATGAGCATGTATCTTTATATAGATCTGAATTAAAGATAGGATTCTCGGGAGTGGTTTGGTGGTTGTAACTTGTAAGAGTGATGGGTATCAAACTTGAGTCAACTTTGCCAAATTGAATAGTTATAATTAGGGAAAGGAAAAAGCATATTACCCTAATCTTGGAATGGCGGAAAGCATGCATTGTTAAAAGGATGGGTGAAATGACAATAAAAGATAGGAGAATCTGAAATAGTGCATGGTGACATGAAAGCTTGAGTCAGCTAATGCAATCACTTGTTCAAAGTGACATGGCAGCTTAAAGTAGGTTAAAGAAAATTCCCAAATTTATTCTTCAATTATTATTGGCAATTTATACCGTGCACCACGACATACATAGCAATGTGCGCCCATGCACAAAACGCGCGCGTTTCATGCTGACATCACTCTATCCATCTGAACAGACCAAACCTCATTATGTGTATTCAGTTAAAATTTTATGTGTATTGTGTTATGAGTTTATGTGTATTATGTTAACCAACCCCATTATGTGTATTCAGTTAAAAGTTTATGTGTATTATGTTAAGAGTTTTTGCGTATTATGTATTATGTTAGATTATGTGTATTATGTTATGAGTTTATGTGCATTCCAAACAAAGAATTTTTTTTTAAAACAACTTAACAAAACAACGTCGTTTTGGGATCGAAGGCGCGGGGTGCACAGTGCTATGTGCGCCCTGGTGCACGATATAACGATTGATTATTATTATTAGGGAAAGTGTCAAATAGGACCCTTAACATTATTCAAAAAATCAATTAAGCCTTTAAACTTTAAAATGTACAATTAAGTCCTTAAACATATTATTTTAGAACATTGAGGCTCAAAAATCAATTGGTGATCTGTAGTGTCCCGGCAAAATTCTGACCATATTTCGGCAAAAAACACCGGTGAAACAGTCGCCGATGTCGTTTGAATTGGTTGCCTTCTTCGGCGACTGGAGAAGGCATACCAAACCAGTTGGTCTGCATTCTCCTACGTCGGAGAAGGCAACCAAACGACATCGGCGACCATTTCGCCGGTGTTTTTTTGTTGGAATCTCGCTGGAGGTTCACCGGAACCCTAGTGACATGTAATTATAGGTCACCAACCGATTTTTGGGCCTCAATGCTCTAAAATAATATGCTTAAGGGCTTAATTACAACATTTGAAAGTTTAAGGGTCTAATTGACGGTAAATTATGCTGTAGATCCATAATGTCTATACTATAGATTCGTGATTATTGAACTCTATATTCACAATTACAAAACTCTATGTTCATAATTTTCAATGTTCATATTCCCAATTGTTGAACTCTGTATTCACAAATCACTGAACTATATGTTCATAATTTGATAACTATACAGTATAGAAATTATGAATCTACAGTATAGAAATTATGAATCTATAGTATATAAATTATGGATCTATAGTATAGAAATTATGGATCCAATTCTGTGTGCACCTTGCATGGTGCGCACGTTTGCACAGCATAACACTCCCTAATTGACTTCTTGAGTAATGTTCATGGGTCTATTTGACCATTTTCCCTTATTATTATTAGAGTTAATACCCAAAATAGTCCCTCGATTATGTCGTAATTACCAATTTAGTCCTCGACTATCATTCTTATCCAATTAAGTCCTCAACTATACAATTTTTACCCAATTTAGTCCTTTGTCAATTTGACTGTTTGTTGACTGTCAAAAGTGGAAATAAAGTTGTAATTTTACAAGTTTTCTCCTTCCTCCTCATTTAGCAGCGCCAAACCATGTAGCAATAAGCTCCGGTTGGGTTCTAAACCTGTCAGTATCGAAGTAGTGGTTATGCATCGGATAGCCCATGAATTTGATTTCCAACGATTTTTTGACGATCGAAATCTGATCGAAGTGTATTGCTGCATGGTTTGGCGCTGCTAAATGGAGAGGAAGGAGAAATCTTGTAAAATTATAATTTTATCCCGACTTTTGACAGTCAACAAACAGTCAAATTAATACAGAAGATTAAATTGGGTAAGAATTGTATAGTTGAGGACTAAATTGGGTAAAAATTGTATAGTTGAGGACTTAATTGAGTAAAAGTTACATAATTGAGGACTTAATTGGATAAGAATGGTAGTTGAGGACCAAATTGGTAATTATGGCATAGTCGAGGGACCATTTTAGGTATTAACTCTTATTATTATTCCGAACAAATTCTAAGACATTGCGTGCAAATCAACACGATGCTAATAAACACCTCAAAATTTTCGAGTTATGATTAGTTGTTACTAGATAAACCCCACCCTCTTCCTATTCTAGGTTGTGGGCTGTCAAACTGAGTAAACCCTGTCTTATGAGTTATGACCCTAACCGACAAAAGATTGAGATAAATCAGTCTAGGTTGTCTATAATTGACTTGCTCAAAATAAGGAGACCAATAGACTGCTCCCTCTAGGAATTGAACTTGAAACCTTGTGGTTACCATGTCAACAATCTAACCAACTTGGCTTGGTTGTCCCCGCATGCATTCATATCTAATATACCAGACTCTAAACCATGAGAGAAGAAAATGCAGGTAAAGATTTTGTGTAAACTAATGTAAAATTCTTTAGCCCTTAATGCTGCAATGGGACAACTGAGTAATGAAATTGAAGGTGACTTTATTGGCAATCCTTTGAGATCAAATGGTTTCACTAAACATAGAGACTATTTCCATTTACAAGCCATCAAAGCATGACAGAGGAACTCAGCTGAACCAGTTCTACTGTGCAAGAACATTAGCTTCACAACAGGCAATTCAACAGAAAACTGGATCAGATCAGCATTCGAATCCAATGATCACGCTAAACGCTAGCTGGTGGTGCTTCACCCCCTTAGAGTTTGGTACCTCGTCGGGTTGATCTCGAGTCCAAACTTGGCATATCCGACCTGCAGTGATGGATACGCCACGAAAGAACTATCAGCAGGTGCACGAAACATGGAAGCCACTCCATCATCTGGGAAATTCCAGCTTTCCAGTTCGGGTGTGCCTGCAATTGTCTTTGGCACCAGAGTTCCACGAATACTCTTCTCATCCGAAACGGACTTTTTAGCCTCGGAAGGATTGTTGGGATCCGCGAGATTGAATGTTGTGATGTCATGAATGCTTGGCCTCCTCTTATCTTTGCTGCCTGAAAGCTGCCTCAGGAAGTACTTCTGAGCATGGCTTGCAACTTGAGTAGGCGTCTTGGAGATCACGTAGTTTCGCGAGATGTTCCTCCAGTCCCCCTTTCCATACTTGTCAAGACCCATCAAGAATCGCCTAAAGAAAACAGCCACAATGTCAAGAACAAATGGAAACAACAGATATCCATTCAAAACCAGAATCTTTCTTGATCTGATATATGCAGTTCACCTGCAATTTCTGTGAATTATACTGTCTATATATGCAGTACCCTTAAAAGGGCTAATCAATCTAAGCATATATATGTATTGATCTAATCATCAATGACCATATCTTGTAATCAAACTAGCTAAAATCATTCCAAGATTTGCAGAAGAGAATTATTCACCTGTGTTCTTCCTCTGTCCATGGCACACCTTTCTTCCTTTCTTGATCACAGCCTCTCCCTCTCTTCCTGAAGCCTGCAAACCCGCGATGATCATCGACCAATTCCACCGGGAAAGAGGAGGCTAAGTAGCCGGGGACCGGGACCAGTCCAGCCTCGATATTGCTAACATCTGCAGCCAGTTCCTGGAACCGGTTGATCACATCAGACACTGACTTCCCAGGCACCATATGAGCAACTCTCACCCATCTGTCTGGAGTTCTCTCATCAATCATTGCAAGGGCACTCTCAAACATCTTGTTTTCTTCTTTGGTCCATCTTGTTCTCCTGCCTGGTTGCATCAACCAGCTTGAATTTGGCAGCATCAATGTCTCCATACCTGAATTCCACCAAAAAATAAAAAGCACTTCAATCCCTCTGGGGAGATTCTACAAACACATTATGTGCTGATGATGGAGATGTGTGGAAGAAAGATCATACTTTTCTACAAATTCCCAGAAATATTCTGGGAAATAACATAATACTAACTGATCCAGAGATGAAAAAGAACTCACCTTTATGGGATCAAAAGAATCTTGTAGAGCATCAGAAAAAGCAAATTGAGTTCCTGTTGAACTATAAACCCTATTCCCTCCCAAAGAAGATGAAAACAGATGCAGGAAAGGAAGCAAAACCTACAGAAAGTTGAGAGATTGTGGAATGGTGGAAGGGTGTTTGGTGATTCTTTGAAGGAAATGGAGGAGAGGAAAGAGAGAAAATGTCAAGGTGGTATGAAGAAGAAGAAGAAGAAGGGTATTAAATTAGGGGGGAGGGGGGTGGAGGGGCAGAAAAGCAAGAACTGTGACATTGGCAGTGGAAGTATATCAAGATTGATCGCAGAATGAGAAGAAAAAGCATGATACTGACAGCAAAAAGGTGTCCACTTCTGATTGGAGATATATTGTTTCTTTGAATTTATTACAATGATTTTAAAACCACAGTAGGAATTTTCTGACTGCTTTCTGCACAAGCTTTATCCATCAAAATAACCTTATATAAACAGCAAAATTTAACATAGCTCCTGCACAACTTTCCTCAGAAATCAAGAACTGGGCAGCTACAACATTTTCTTCAAGTCTTATCTTTTCTAATCGGTTAAGGTCTTCCAATAATCCTTCAGGTTCTCAGTAAGATTCAAATCCCCACACTGGGGTCTTCATCTCCTATGATCGAGCAAGGTCTCACAATGACCCCAAAGTTTTCGAGGAATTCGAATCCCAAACTGGACACCTCTGATCGCTCAAGACCTCCAATGACCCTCAAGTTTCTAGTGGAATTCGAATCTCCACAATGAGGGGTCTTCATCTCCTTTTATTAGTCAAGGTCTCTCAATAATCCCTCAGATTCGATTTTCAGTTAGAGACTTTAAGGTGATCGTTCAAACCAACTATTAGTCACTGTAGCATTTTTAGCTTAGAACATCATCATGCAGTAAAAACAATGATTGGGAATGGAAAACAGAAGCCTTGTATATTATATATATGTGTGTGTGTATCATGAATATAGGTCTTTAAACAATTTTTTGACAATATGCTTGGATATCTATCAGTCAATCAAAATCTTGAATTTCCTGGGAGGACTTTCCCAGCTGGGAAAGCTCTATAGCAGCTTTGATCCTATGAATGCAAGACTTGTAAAGAAATCCCAAGAAATCCATGATTGTGTCCTCAGAGGAGCCTTCAAGAGGATCCATCTCAAATCTCCAGTCAACCAGAGTGGAACCCTCATCATATTCCAACAATTTCAGTGAATTCACAGATCCATCAAGTCCCACATTGCTTGCCTCCATTCTGTAAGAGTAACTATGCGACGCAGCGTCCATGAAAACCAGTCTCTCCTTGATCCATGACCGGTCTCCATTCTCCTGTGGGAACATGAACCCCGAGACTAGGCGGGTGTGGCCTGGAACGCCTTCTTCTCCGGCCAAATCTGTGCACTTTTCCACCATTGGCATCCATTCACAAAGCTTGCTGCTTTTTGACACCATTTTCCAGACCTCTTCCATGGGGGCCTCAACTATGCCCCCAACTGATCCCCGCCATTTCCTGTTTTCCATTTCGTTTCTCTAATGAAAATCAAAACATTAGACTTCACCATATCACATAACATAAGAGCATATATAATAGCAGCAAAATGGGTAAATGACCACCAGTCCCATGTCTTCCTCTTCAAAACACATAATCCTAAAAGGACAATCATGTTTCATAGTTATTGGTGAAGGTATACTAAGGGACAAAAACATGTTATTAGCATTACATTGTAGAAGCAGAAATGTATGGAGATTTCAAGGAGACATCATCTGATCTCCTAGGAAAGATATATATATAAGGTTGTGTTGGAACATATATATTCTATAAAACAATCATTTTACACTTACAATTGCAGAATCAAGGTTGTAACATTAAAATTAAACTTGAATAAATAAATATGAAACCATGTGCAACATGACTTAGGGTACAAGACTTGCATGGACCTTTAAAAAATTAATTTGGGTGACAAAGACATGGAGTGAATAAAGTTTTTGATAACATGAGGGAACAGTGTAACAACTGGTTGAGGGAATCAAACAGGATCCTTAAAGAACTGTTGGTCTAATGTGGACAATCTCCTTCAAATCAAACAATATCTCCAAGAAGTCTTTAGCTTTTCAAGGAGTAGAGGGACAAGGGACACCAGATGTTCCTAGATTTGGTCCATTGACATGACTATGATTAAAGCTTAGGGGGATCCAATCAGGTGGGGAGCAAATTAACCATTTTTTACCCACTTCTAGATTTTATATATATATACATGTTTTAGATATAAATATATCAAAACAGATAAAAATAAACAATAGATATGTTGGATGAGTTGGCAAAGCGTTATTTTTTAACTGCTTCTTTAATTCCTTCTGTTTGGCTTTTTTTAACAGCTTCTTTATGATTTAGATTATTTTTCATACAATAATCTAGTATTTATATATATATATATATATATATATATATAAGGGCTATATATGGGGTGGGGTGGGGTGAGTGGGAGCAGCTGCTCCACTGTTCCTAGTGTAGCTTCGCCCCTGGTTTCACATGTGTAGGTCATGCCATATATATTTCATATATATAAAAGATGGATTATAAGTAAGAATCTTGAATGGTTGAAACTAATTCTTTTGAGTTGAGTAATAACGACTTTTGTCTCATAGCAAGATCACTCGAGAATAAAAAGATTCCAATCTCAATCAATGCATGCTAACTCAAGCATAAATCGATCTAGGGCTCAACCAAGTGATCCTTTTTTAGTCCTAATAATTTTGGTCCACCCCATCAACTAGATCAAATGACATGCATGAGGCTAATAATCCAATAATTATACATATTATGTACCTTTTAATTATATTTGTGCATTTATGTACCTTTTAATTATATTTGTGCATTTTTCTAAAATTTTGTATCTTGGCTTTCCTTATATCCCTACCTAGATGCTTAAACCAAATTCCATCCACTCATCATCACTCATCAGCACATCAACCTTTTTTCCAGATTGTCATTCCCTGCTTAAAGCAATAATGCAAAAATTCTTGTATGTATCCATCAATATATTAGCTGCTATATATAAATATATATATACAAACAAATGAATAAAGGTGTGTCCCAATTATCCTTGCCCTGTGCAGTCTGCCAGTCTTCATCATGTCCATACGAAACTTCATATACCAAACTGCTGCATATATATGATTCAGAATGGAAAAAAAAAAAAAAAAAAAATCCTAATTCCGACTGAGAAAAAGAAAAGTGAAAAAGATAGAAATTTTATGGGTGCAGCTGACAAACCATAACTAGATGAAGTGAAGCCTGAAATTTGCAGAGCCTCTGATATTTAGGGTCCGTTTGGAAAGCAAGAAAATGACTTATGGAAAATGTTTTCTGGAAAATAAGTCATTTTCTGGAAAACATTTTCCTTTCCAGTGTTTGGTTGCACTCTGGAAAACAGTTTTTGTGTGTTTGGTTCATTTTCTGGAAAATGAGTAAAATTGTATAATTAAACATTTTAATTATTTTATTTAGAATATTACAACATGTATAATAATATATAATAATATAATAATAATTTTAAATATAATAAAAAATAACTAATAATATATCAAAAATATTATGGTGGTGGTGGTGATGTAGTGGTAGTGGTGTTATTTGTTATATAATAATAATAATAATAATAATAATAATAATAATAATAATAATAATAACTGGTGGTGGTATGGCAGTGGTGGTGATGGTGGTGGTGTGGTGGCGGTGATGGTGGTTGCGGTGGTATGGTGGTGGTGGTGGTGGTGGTGACGGTGACAGTGGTTGCGGTGGTATGATGGTGGTTGCGGTGGTTGCGGTGGTTGCGGTGGTATGGTGGTGGTGGTGGCGGCGGTGGTATGGTCGTGGTGGTGGCGACGGCGGTGGTGTGATGGTGGTGGTGGTGGTGACGGCGGTGGTGGTGGTGGTGGCGGCGGTGGTGGTGGCGGTGGTGGTAGTGGTGGTGGTGGTGGCGACGACGGTGATTGCGGTGGTATGGTCGTGGTGGTGGTGGCGGCGGTGGTGTGGTGGTGTGGTGGTGGTGTGGTGGCGGTGGTATGGTGGTGGTGGTGGTGGTGGCAACGGTGGTGGTGGTGGTAGTGGTTGCGGTGATATGATGTTGGTGGTGGTGTGGTGGTGGTGGTGTGGTGGCGGTGGTTGCGGTGGTATAGTGGTGGTGGCGGCAGCAGTAGTGGTGGTGATGGTGGTAGTGAGGTGGTGGTGGTGTGATGTTGGTGTAAAAGTTGGAAAATGACTTCCCCCCAAAAAAAGGGGAAGTCATTTTCCTCCAAAACAAGCGTATTTTCCAAAGTCAACGGAAAATGATTTCCGTTGACTTGATTTTCCAGGCACATCCAAACAATGGAAACTTGGAAAATGATTTCCAGAACTCATTTTTCAGGTTTCCAAACACACCCTTACTGGGAAACACACAGGTTAAAAATGGGAGAGCTATTTGGGCTTTAGAGAAACAATTTTCATGAGCCCAAATAAATTAAGATTAGCCCAATTCAAAAACGGATCCAATAATGAAGTCTAAACTCTAAAGGGGCAAATTATGCTGTGAAAATCCGTATGCACCATGCAATGCAAAAACGACGTCGTTTTAATAAAACGCGCGTCTCCCCTTAAAAAAAAAAATCAGATTCGATTCCCAACAACAACATATGAACTAAAATTCCATAATCGATGAACTATAATTCCATAATCTAATCTATGAATTAAAAATTCCAGAATGAATGAACTAAAATTCCATAATCTATAAACTAAAATTTCAGAATCGATGAACTACAATTCCATAATCGATGAACTATAATTCCATAATCAATGAACTATAATTCCATAATCTATGAACTAAAATTCCAGAATGAATGAACAATATAATGTTGTTGCTGGGAATCGAACCTGAATTTTTTTTAAAGGGGAGACGCGCGTTTTTTAATAAAACGACATCGTTTTGACATCCGTATACACCATGCATGGTGCATACGGATGCACAGCATAACTATTGCTCTAAATGAGTTGTTATACCATGGACCAGGGTCCACCTTGCAAAGTAGACCCTGATTCTAAACGACGTATAAATTGTGTATTTTTAGTATTAGAATTGTGAACTTCTAGAATATAAATGTGTTTCTAAGTCAAAAAGCATAACAGCTGTAGAAAGAAATTTGTGAATACAATACAAGGTCATCAAATCATAATATGTTAATATTGCGTGATTGCAGTATTTGAAAGAAACTTGAGAATAGAAAACAAGGTAATCAACTACATATATGTCAACATTATGTATTCGCAGTATACAAATTATGAATTTTTAAAATGTAAATTGTGAACATTTGGACCCAGGTACACAAAATAATTTGCGACTCTAAAGTATATAGAATTAGAATCAAATATAAATTAACGAGTTAATACCTAAAATCGTCCTCGACTATAGTGGTTTTTCTCAATTTCGTCCTAAACGACTTTGGTGACCTAATATCGTCCCAGACTTTTGTGTTTCGCGCAATTTAGTCCCAGACTTTTGTGCTTTTGCTCAATTTAGTCCATCATTTGTTATTCTGTCCATTTGGTGTTAAATAAATAGACAATTAAGTAATTTTAATATTGACATCTCTTTACTCATAGACATGTGAACTGCGAAATCCCTTTTTTTTACGAATTACTCCCAGAATTACTCCTAAAACTGCGAATATAAAATTTGATTTGCAGGTCCGGGAGTAATTCTGGGTGTAATTCGTACAAGAAAGATGAATTTCGCACTTCACAAGTTGAAAGTAAAGAGAGATCAATATTGACATTACTGAATTGTCCCTTTATTTAACACCAATTTGACGGAATAACAAATGGAGGACGAAATTGAGCGAAACACAAAAGTCTGGGACGATATTAGGTCACCAAAGTCATTTAGGACGAAATTGAGAAAAACCACTATAGTCGAGGACGATTTTGGGTATTAACTCATAAATTAACTTTTCGATGAGAAGTGTGGACCAATCTCTTATTAAATTGAATGATCAATTGTTAAAAAAAAAAAAAAAAAAAAAAAAAAAAAAAAAAGGTAGGCCAATTTTATAAATGTTACTAACTTTCATAATTTGTAATATCTCATAAGAGTCCGAATATATATATATATATATATATGAGCGCGTCTAGGAGAGGAATGAGAACTAATCACAATTTATTGTCTATTCAGATGTGAATTTTTTTTTTTTTTATCTGTTCATATACTTTCATAACGCCTCTACTGAGGCTCGAACTCACAACTTTCCAAATGAAAGTTCAACCCGGGTACTATTAGGCCACATGTCTTGATTTAAAAAAAAAAAAAAAAACTTAAACTTTGGTATAAGTAAAATGGGGAGAAATGTACTAGGACTATGTGGTCTAATGGTACCCGGGTTGGACTTCCATTTGGAAGATTATGATTTCGAGCCTCAGTGGAGGCGTTATTGGTTCTTTGTGTTTCAGTAGGTTCTATACTACAATGTAATTAACTTTTTTTTTTGCAGGTTACCAATTCAATTATTAAAAAAATAATTTCAAAATAATTTAAAAATTATTATTAAAAAAAAAAAATTGATACAGCGGTTGGAGTCGGCGGTAGCTCGACTAGAGACGCTGTCCACCGGCGGATTTAATTTGGCCATGGAACTTCGCGTGAGGTTGACGTTAGTGCGGCGGCGTCGGATCCATCGGTCGTTCCATTCGAAGATCTGATTTCGCAGTGCGTCGGGAGGCTGTCGAGTGCTGCTGAGAAGATTGGAGGACAAGTTTTGGATACTACCAAGATTGTAAAGGATGCATTCTCTGCTCAGAAGGAGCTTCTAATCAAAACCAAGGGAACTCAGGTTTTGATTTCTTCTGAAATTAACTCAAATAACAGAGCGGTTACTATGTAATAGTTGTGAATTTTTCCTTTATTTGACAATGCTCTCTCCACTCAGTCGATATAAAGATATTTGAATATGTCTGCTTAAATGTGTAAACCTGCATCGAATTAGTTCCTATGCTATAGTTGTGCATTTTCACGTAATTTGATAATGATCACTTCACTCAGACAGCCATGACCGTCCCCAGACAGCCAGGCCGTTTGAGGTCTGGACTTCAAACATGAGGTCCAGATCTGGACCTCTGGACCTCATATTAGATAGCCGTGGTTGTTCGGTTAGATGGCAGCTACCGGCTGTCCGGCGAGGACAACCGGGGGCTGTATTCTTTTTTATTTTATTTATTTATTTATTTTAATAATTAAATAGGTAACTTGTTATTAACCTGTAAAAAAGGTCAATTGAACAAATTTAACTTGTAGATGAACCTATTTGACACTTAATTTAGTTCGTGGTGAAAATTGAGCACTTCGCAATAGTAGAAGGGCCTATTTGACACTTGTGCCAAGTAAAATGTGTTAAAAGTGCAAGTGTGTAAGAAAAATCACTTAAAAAGTGCAATCATTTTCATTTAATAGTGCAATTAATTTACATTTTTTGCTCGGTTTATATTATATTGTTGCACTCGTAATACATTTTACTTGCACTTTTGATACATTTTACTTGTACTTAGATGCACTCTATGAAACTATTTAAAAAAATTTCACCATATTTAAAAAAAAAAAAAAAACATTTCTAATTCGTTAGATCTGGACAGATGGACAACTGCCATAGGTTCACATTCCTCTCCTGAGCATGTGATTCTTACTTGATCCATCTCCTGAAAAAGTCAGAGAATTGCATATTTTAATATTCAAGTTTGTATAGTAAAGTTGATAATAATTACGAAAATGTCATCATATTTAAAAAAAAAAAAAAATTGATCTGATCTGTTTAATTTTTCTGAATATAAGATTGAGATATGTTCTTATTTCTCTTCTAAGTACTTGTTGTCATTATATCATTTGACTCTTATGTTAATTAATTTTGTTTCATTTAATTTTTGACATTTTAGTTATTAAGATCATTTCGTTACCGACATTACCAATCCATTTTAGTGTTTGTTTTTTTTTTTTTTAATTCAAACATTCTATTTTATAATTTCAACCAATTATTGTTAAATATATAAAATTTCCAACTCTCAATGAGGTCCACCCCGCCAAAAGGATCTTGCAGACTTAACTGGACATGATCCACATTTGTCCTAAACCAATTTACACATCATAATCCTTTTCTTAAAGAGGGCTAAACGCTAAATTCAAATCTAATGCTTTGCACGCTATTACAATTTTATTTATTTTAAGTTCTGTTATAAATATATTAAAATACAAAGTAAAATAGAGTTTGTGTAGCAAAGATAATCCACTATAACGGCTCTTCCTCTTTATATAATCTACTACCGTGTTTGGAGCGTTCCTGAAAGCGATTGGGAATCAATCAAGGATGATGAATTTGACTGACTCGTAGTTGGAATTAGTAGATGATGATCCAATCAAGAAAACCTAGCCTTAACACCTTGTTGTTTACTGCCCACCTACCTGTTTACATTAATTTTTCGTAAACCCCGTTCTTGTATAATAGTCTGAGACCTCATCCAACAAGCTTGACCAAGAAAATATTGACGAGAATTGAAATTGTAACTTTTAAGGTACGAGAACTATGTTTCTCTATCATTACTTCTATCCCATTTTATGTATTGTAAAAAGTTGATCTTTCTTCTCTCAAATACTGCTTAATGAACCAGTAAGTTAAGTTCGTGCGGACAAAAGTTGATCAGAACATTGAATCACAAAATTTTAAATATATTCTTACCTTGGTAAATTGTAAGTTAGCAAAGTAAAGCTTATAAAAGTCTCTTTGGCTCTTGGTTGATGATTCAACGAGAATATGATATTTCACCTGCCAATACAGTTAGGAACCGTCTCAACATATATCAAATGGATTACTACCTAACAATTCTTTCAATGGATAAAAAATTCTGCACGAATTTACCGTTGAATATTTCACAAACTCTAACGGTCATAGAGAATCTTAAAGATTCTGATATGTGGATAATAAAGAGCAACTCAAATGGATCAACCTGCCATTTCTGCATAAAGAGATAAGAATCCGAGAAAAAAGAGGAATCATTTCACAGCAAGAAGAATCTGTAGAAATAGTAACAGTAATAACTTGAAGTAAAAATAGTAACCGACAGTCTCAGCAGCATTTTGTTGGAATAGCACAGATATATATGACTGGAAAAGAGGCTTATGAAACAGGAATTTTTGAATTTATACGAACATGCTATGTAGGCTGAACAAATCAATATGAAAAATTGTAATATGCTGTGTATACTGCAATTCTCAATTCTACAATCTCTTTCTCAAAGAATTTAAAAGATATTTCTCCCAAAACTGCCCGTGTGGGAAGAACGGAGAGAAATCTCGAGTTACTTATTACTACTATGTGTTGGCTGGCGTGGTTGTTGGCTGAGATAGAAGATGGACGCCTATTTCCGCGCATTTTCTAGTGCAGAAGTTAAATTTGAGGCCAAAATCCAAGGTACAACTGCAAGGATGCGATCCATCTAGCGTTTCAAACTTGCACCTCTCATCACAAGGCAAAATTAATAGAATTTGTACTTTCCAACATCAATCCTTCCTACTGCGTTTCTTAGCTTCACTATAGAGAATAACACCGAACACTGTGAGGGTATAGCCGAGCATCCCTGTAACTGATACTGGATTTCTGAAAATTAATATTGAGACAACCACAGCTACGGCTCCTTTAGCATTCCCCAAAACCTGTAGAAACCAATAACAATCAGTTACAAGCAGAAAGGCATGGAGAAAGGGTACAATACATCTTTTCGTTGAAAAGAAACCAATAAAAAAAAAGGAGTAGAACATCAAAGAAATAACACATAATATTCAAAGAACTACATTATATCATTTTTTTGAGACCCAGGAAGCCAAAGATTGTCAATTACAATCAAATGCAGTCCATAGCCAAAGGAATCATCATTCACAAGTATATTTTCAAGAAGCAGTACTACAAAATAGGAGGATCATGGCTCGGCACTAGACCCCAGCCAAGATAAACATTACAAGAGTTGTAAACATAAGAAAAGATAATGAAGAAACCAGCTTTTGTTTCTTTCATATGGGCATTGAATTCTAAATGGTTTTGGATTTAAATGTTTGCAAAATTAATTAGTACTGGAGAATTTTACAAAATCATTGGATTATAGAGATATCTTGGTTCTGAAAATCAAGAAACATACCTGAAGTGTGAGAGCACTGGTGTGTTTTGTAACCAAAAAATTGGTCAAGTTTACAAAATATGCAAGAGCAGAATTGAATAGCAGCAACCAGATGATTCTAACATCCTCCCTTGCAAGTGCTAGGGTGATACCAACAACATTTTCTTCCATAATTAGTGTAGCAGGCAATAGAAGTACAACAGCAATAGGAGCCATGTAGAGTAGAAGATTCATGGAGTTCAGCTTCTCCCTTCAGTTTATTAAAAAAAAAAAAAAAAAGAGCTTCAGCTTCCATGCCCAAACTTTTTTTGCAATTTTTAGATAAAACACACAAGTGCATAACTATTGGTTAATAAGTATTACCCTTCCGACGACAGCAAAATCCCTTGAAGCACTGATTTAAGTGCCCTAGCTGCTGTGGCACCAATACACATGATGAATCCAAATAGATGGAAACTCGGTTCACCCTAGAAACACAGAAGGATAAAAACGAAAGGGATTAGCTGGAACAGAAAACGTCTCAAAACTAAATATAGTAAATATAAAAAAGATCCAATTCACCAGCTCAACAAGCTGTGCAGAGGAATTATCAATGCCTAACTTCCGGTAAGTCTAGATGACCAAATACATCAAATGGTAGATGAAAAGAAATTCCTAGAAAACAGAATATTGTACTAGGATCATTGATCTAATCAGAGCAGTTCAACTACTTCTATTCTTATAGCTTGGAAAATAGTCAAAATACTGGTAGTTAAAAATCTACTACCAGAAGATGGGTGCTCTCTCTTTCCGTTAAGCCCTTCATTGTTTTCTAATTAGTGTCAAATAGAGTTAAGCAACAACCAATCTTCCACTCAATGTTATGAGTAACAACATTTGAATAAACGAACAGGCCAATTTGTTAGACAAGTGTAAAAGCATCAATGGAAAATGCTAAAAATCAATCCAAACAAAAGCAATTCTATGACGAGATGAATAAAATTCAGCTACAAACAAAGCAAAGCAAAGGTACGTACCCCACTGGCAATGACTACGCCTGTGACAACAGGGACAAGAGTGACGTAAGTCAACCAAGCCTCTCTTTTGAAAGTCATCAAATACGCAAAGACGGCAGTGAAGAAGGGCGTGGTGGCGCCAATGGCCTGGTTGAAGGAAACGGGCAAGTAGCGGAGCGAGATGTTGCCGCTGACGACGGAGGCGCAAAACACGAGGCTCAACGCGGAGATCTTCATGAACTGAACCCTAGATCTTATAGTCTGCATAGGCACCATCTTCATCCAGGCAATGGCGATGTAGCTGAGCAGGGAGCAAGCCGTCATGTGGCACATCGTGAGAAAGATCGGGTATTTAAATCCGTAATTGCTCAGCAAGTACTTGTTCAGCAGCAAAACCCCAATGTTGGAGGAGTACCACGACGCCACCAGCCCGATCGTGAAAAACCGGCCCGTCGCCTTCATTGCCGACATTGGTCGATCTATCCGGAACCCCCAATTCCTCAAAATCCCCCCCAAAGAAACTACTAAATAAAACAACAACAACTACAACAACAACAACAACAACAACAACAACAACAAACGACGGACAATTCACAATGGATCTGCAGCTAGGGTTGGACGAAGGCGTGAAGCAGCAGAGAAAATCTAGAGAGAGGAACAAGGCGTCAATCTTAACGGATCTGAATCAAATTTCAACAGCAAAACAAATACAAATCAAAACATAATTCAGAAAAAAAAAAAAAAAAAAAAAAAAAACTTATAGATACCTCTGCTATATCTCCCACGATATAAATATGTAGTGTACGTATATATAACAGCAAATGAGGAGGAGAAACGGTGGTTGGCGGAGGTTGAAGGCGACGGGAGGAGGAAGAGGGGGTCGAGGACGACCGACGGAGAAATAGCAGACGCGGAAATGAAGACCCGAATCACAGTAGAATTAATGCATTAATAATAATACTATAATAGGAGTTCCATAAATAAATAATTATACCCCACCACCCCCTATTTTTATTTTTTATCATTAATATTTTATCGCTATTTTAACGTGAAGCAAAGGGGGATTTTGACTTGTATTTTCGGGTTGTACAGCATTTTTAAAATTAATTAATAATAAAAATAATATTTATTATTTATTATATATTTAATCCGAATTTTCCTTTTTATTTATTATTTTTTAATTCTGGGTGGATGTCAAACTGCAAGTGCTGGCAGAGTGGCATGTGACACCATATATCCAAAATGTGATATACGAGTCAAACATTGACAAAAGTGGAAGAAAAGTGGAAAAACTGTGAAAAAAGGAATATCTGAATTTCAGGAATATCTTTCACTTTTTGAATTATACTAATTTTCTTTTTTCTTTTTTTTTGAAAAATCCAAACTTAATTTTCACTTATTTGATATATAATCAATTCTTATCCTTGTATCACTTACCTCACTATGCACTCCCAAAATTATATTCACAAATCTACAAATCTTAGTGAGTTACATAACCTGAACAAAACACACATGTACAAAAGATCTCACAATCTTAATTACATAATCTAAACGAAACACGCATATGCAAAATATCTCACAATTTTAGTGCGTTACATAACCTTAATGAAACACGCACATGCAAAGAATCTCACAATATTAATAAATTACATAACCTGAATCAAACACGTAAATTACATAATCTGAACCAAACACACGAAGTGATTAACATATCAGTGTTAGAGCCATCACATGCTCTTCATGTCAAGAGCCACACATCTTGCATTTCTTGGTGATTATTTCGTGTACATACATACACAAAGTAGGGAACAAGCTTAGCTTTATCTTATTACCGTGGCAAGAACAGACTCAAGCAATCCATACAACTTTATAACCATAAGCAAGTAACTTCACAAGTCATTAAAGTCTAACTGCATGTGCTGACCAAAGTTTATAATGATTAAACTTGCTAAACAAATTACACCAATAAAAAATTCAAATTAAAGTGGTAGTTTCACTCAAAATACACTCTTCAATTTGGTATAAAAATGTGCAAATTCCATATGGCTAGTAGGATCTGCCAAAGCCATAGTTAAACATTAACAGTAGTATACGCATACACGAGAAAACTCCAAAATGAGCATGTAGCATATAATCACGAGAAAACTCCAAACTACAATCATTTCTATTACTCAAAACAAGGACAAAGAGGCTAAAAAGAATTCCGCAGAACACAGGGCAGTAAACTCTATCTATTTTGTTAGGATGCAGTCCTATAACTCACTGATGACCTTGAATCTGGCATCTTCACCTTCCCTGCTGCAGAAATACACAGATTGAGAAAAGATCAGCACAAAAGGAAAATTCAGTAACAATCCCCGGATTAACAGGGGAAATCTCATCAGCAATTGAGTAGGGTAGCATGCAATCAGTGCACTACAAAAGCTGGTGATTATTCAAAACAAAACCAGGTACATAACCCCAAAGAAAACGAGAGTTTCCCAATTCCAGAAATGAGAGTTATAACTACCAAGGAGTAATGGAATGCTTGTAATATTAATTGCAGTGCACAATAAGATCAATTGAAAAGCTTTGAGACAGATTTATGGCACTAAAAATTGAATTTGTTTTATAGAGATTGAAAGTTACGCAATGCATAGTTCAGACAAAGTTACGAGAACAGAGATGTGACCAAACTATATCACCTCAATATTGAGAACTTAACACTAAAATCTAAAATATTGCAACTATGTAGATCTTTAAAAGTATTTTGCACAAAATGCTCACTACATAATCAAGAGTAAAATCTACAATATTGCGACTATTTAGATCTTTAAAAGTATTTTGCACAAAATGCTTACTACATAATGAAGAGTAGAAAACAGTCAATATGCATATAATCATGAATAACGCATTATAGTTAACAAGCACACATTATTCACTACCGCTTGGCTAATAATCTTATTTAGCATAACAAAAACTATACCAGTCATCAGGTGTTCAAAATTTAGATTTATACACTTCAGCATCAATCAATATAGACAAAACACAAATAAGTATATCACAACAGCAAAGAAATTACACAGTACAAAAGTGTGAAATACCTTATATGTTGCTTGGATACATGAACACCCTAACCTTATCTCCCTGCAAAACGCAAAAAGAACCAGAGTGCATAAATTAATTAATGATGAAATAATCATGAATACAAAAGCATTGCCATATGTAAAGAAGTAGAGCTATGCAAGAGTACCATGGATTTAGGCGGAAGATTGGACTTGAACTTAGCTCTAACAACGCCGCTATTGCCGTGAGGCCTGCAGACCTTTCCCCAGATGCAGCGGTAGTGAGAGCCGCTCTTCTTCGTTTTGGCCTTGTACACGTACGCCATACGCTTTCCCTGGTACCAATCAACTTCCTCCTTAGTGTTCACTCCCTCGATCTGAATAAGCGACGTGTTTGGATACTGGTTCGACTTCGACCTATCCTCCAATTATTCAATCCGTAAATACTCAATAACTGAAAGCCAAAAATTTCGAAGAAAAAAAAAATACGCATGCGAATTTCTCAGTATACCTCTTGTAACCTAGAATTGTTCCTCTGGTATACAGCCTGCAAGCATTGATATAAAAATATGAAATAATAATAATTGAAGGAGTAAATGCATGCATGCATGGATACATATACATACAGATTACAGAGAGAGAAAGGAGGAGACTAGATACCTGACACGCTCTCCTTGACGTTCCTTAACCATTTTCGCTGGCGGATGGTGGTTGCGCTGCTGCTGACCGCCGGAGCCTAACGGAGTCGAGTGCAAAGGGGAAGCTAAAACCCTAGATGAGTGGTAATGTAGAGAAGACAGGGGAGTGTGTCATATGGGCTTTAAGGCCCAATATGAATAAGGAAGTGTGGGCTGTATAACTGTACTGAGAGAGAATATGGGCCTCCATTTGGAAACAAAACAAAAGAGTTCATTTCAGTTTTAGTAGTTGAATATCAGTTCTTATACCACGCACCAGGGTCCACCTTGGTCTTAAATTTTGTATTTTTAGTATTAAAATTGTAAATTTCTAAGATATAAATTGTGTTTCTAAGTTTTGAAAATTTGAGAATGCAATACAAGGTCATCACAGAATTTTTAAAAGGTAAATTATGAATATTTAATATGTAATTTGTGTATCTTTGAACTCAAGTCCACCTGGCACAGAATAATTTGCCTATGAATATAGTGACACTTTTTTTTTTTTCAATAATCTAAGTTTTCCTGAATTATATCATCACTTTAGGCCCATGAAGATGTCAATTTAACTTTGATCCAATATAGTGAGAGCTTGGGTTTTGTTGGAGTGAAGCTTTGCTGTCCTTGGTTGAAGGAAATTAGGGTTTTTGAATTTGGTGAAGATGAAGATTGCAAAATTACTTCTTTTCTTTTTTTACTTCTGCATTTAACGGTTCTTGTAATTATAGTCGGCATTAAATTGAATCAAATTAAAAGTCAATTACAACGTACGGTTCGGTATTTCTTGCCCAACTTCTCGTAATCTTTTACAAAAGAACAAACCAAAGTCAGAAAAATACAGTTTATAGATTGGTCCAAGAATGAGTTCAACCTAACCTTAATTTACAAAATTAACAATGAAGTAATACAAGGATTGCTTTTGTTGTCATTCTGTGTGTCAATTAATACTGAAACAGAATAGGATTCTTTCTGCAATTCTTTAAACTTCATAACAAAACTTGGGCTCTCAATTTTCTATTTGAAATGCCACAAACTCAAAGATATGGCACCGGAAGAAATGAGGAAAGTCCACAACCACTACTTACAAGTGCGCTCTGTGTGAAGCTCACCTTGTGACCCTAACCAACAAAGGACCACAAGGCGGTAAACAAGCCTGGATTGTCCATAGCTGATCGAGCTCGAACCAAGAAAGTCAATAGAGAGGCCCCGCAGAGAGTTAGAACTTGAAACCTTGTAGTTACCAAGCCAACTATCAGACCAACTTAGCAATTTCTGCATTGCTATATGCCACAATTGAAGCATGTGCTCCATCTCAACTAAAAGTCTAAGCTAATAGTTGGATTACACATTAATGGTTATATGCTCAATAGTCACTCAAATCAAACCACCTAATTCTTCAAATCTATCAAATACTTAAGGTCCAGCCTTGTCAACACTCAACACCCTAACTAACTTTCTTTAACCGACAAAATATTAGCCAAAAACACAAACATTAATTCTCATTTGCACTAGCAGCAGCAAGTAACTAGTCCTCATTTGACTTATTCAGAGCAAGAGAAAGGGAAACTAAAACACTTCACAGTTTCTTCCCTCTAGTTCCCGTCACTTAGGTAATTGTCCTACAAATGTCATAGGTAGAACTGCCTACTAAACATCATAGTACTATATCACCTAAACCTACTTTAGTTTGTTAGCAGCTTGCAGATGTTTATAACTATAGGATTGCCTACTCCTATTTTAGTTTTCTAGAGGCTGGCAGATGTTTATAACAAGTCATGGTGATTCTTGCAATGGAAAGTTTTGAAACAACATAGTCAATAAAGGATGCCCGGGAAACGTAGATACATACAACATACAAATAGTTAGATACAGTGGCTTTCGTCCACCATTAAAAGCAATTGAAACTACATGGTCCATCATACTAAGATCCTGATACAATACAAAAGCCACAAGGAACACAAAATAGGCCGACTTAAATTCACTAGTTCTTGGCATTCACAGTGTTATCATCTACAACCACATTAACCTTTTCGTACCTGAATTCCCCGGGATATACGAGGCACTTTGGTTGAATCTCAGCCTCTTTTTCGCTAGTGAATATAGCCCGGAAGAACAGAGCTGCAAATGACACTAGTGCACCAAATCCCATGGCAAAGATCAACCCGGAGAGGAGAGTCACTAGACATGATCTGTTACTTTTCACCATTTTATGCTCCCTAGAAACCTTGAAGGGATCCACAGGCTGAGAATGCAGCCATGTTGGAACACTTCTTGCTCTAACGCTCCACGAATACACGCTTGTAGCTTCGACTGAGTTTCCACTAGATGAACTCAACCCCATCAACACTTCTTCCCCCTTCCACATCTCACCCAGATCAACCTGATAAGCTAATAGTGGGTCAAAAGGCCTAGCGCCACCGAACTTGCATAGCCTAACCTCCAGTCTTTTCGAGCTCGAATCATAATCAACCCAAGAATGCAGCTTAACCCCACTGCTCAATATCAACTTAATCGACGAAACATTGCATGTTTTCAAGGAAACAAGACTGCCCACATCAATCCCCATATGATTATCATTCTCATCCCCCACATTCTCGTTCACCATTGCGTCAAACTCAACCCCAAAGAACCGGTTTTCCCGGGAAAGCCCGAAGCTTTCCGCGGAAAGCCGCGAAGGGAAGTCCTTGGGAACAATAACCAGAGCAATGCCGTCGCTACTCCGGGGCGGGATCGAGAAGGTGAAGTCCGTGGAGAAGGACCTCGGCTTCGGGCCGAGGAATTTGAAGGGCACACGTTGGAAGAGAAGACCGGAGCTCCGGGGAGACTTTGATGGGTCGGTGAGGTGTACAAAGGAGCCGGAAGTTGCAAGTTTGGCATCGCCGACGATGTTGAGGTTCGGGTCGAAATGTGGAGTGATGGGAAACGGGTTTGAGGATATGGGATGTGGAAATAGAGGCAGAAGAAGAGGAAGAAGCAAGAGGAGAACGCGAGGCATTGTGGGAGCGATTGAGTGCAGGGAATGCATGCGTTTTCTTCTTCTCCAAAATGTCAAGGATCTGATCGTTTCAGGGTTAGGGTTTGAGATTTGGGATTCTGGGGAAGGTGTAAAGTTAAAGTTGGAGGAACAGACCAACAGCAAATGACAATGCTTTGCTGCTTTATTGACGTGGCAAGGGATGTCGGACGTTTTGCCACACGTAAACTCATAACATAATACACGTAATTTAACATAATACATAATACTCATCAACTCTTAACATAAAATATATAAACACAAGTGTTAAAAACAAAAAATTGTAACAGGATTGAAGGGACGAAATAGTATCCGTCACGTTAACTCCTCAACAATATATAAAAATGTCGTCATTTTAGGCCAGGACACATAGTGCATTCTGCGCCCCTAGTGCATGATATAATAATCCTGAGTCATATTATTGAGTTATACTTAGATTGTCCTATAACTCCATCACATTAATATTCGTAATATATTTTTAAAATAATAAATTAATTATAGTTACTTGTTATATATCAACTTTAATAAAATTATCATTTTATCTAAATAATATTATTCACTCGTAATGTTAAAACAATATAAAATAAACCTTATGTATACTTCTTCAATTACACACACATACACACTAATTAAATTAAAAATGCATACTTTAGTGAGTTCAGTAGAATGACAAAATCAATTATAAAATTAAAAATTTATCCAATCATCAATCACAAGACAAAATTTTATATCCAAAACTTTACCATTGCAGGGCAGATTGGAAGTAAATCGCAGAATATCACAGGGCCATTCGTAAATCATAATCATATCAATAATCTAAATTTACAGAAAAAAAAAAAAAGGCCCGTCTAGCTCAGTTGGTAGAGCGCAAGGCTCTTAACCTTGTGATCGTGGGTTCGAGCCCCACGGTGGGGCAGTGTATTCTTTTTAAAAATTTAGCTCTTTATCATCTGTAAATCATAATAAAATCATTTTTACAAAACCATAACCAAAAAGCCCGTTTAGCTCAGTTGGTAGAGCGCAAGGCTCTTAACCTTGTGGTCGTCGGTTCGAGCCCCACGGTGGGCGCAGTGTATTTTTTTAAAAAATTTAGCTCTTTATCATCTGTAAATCATAATAAAATCATTTTTACAAAACCATAACCAAAAAGCCCGTCTAGCTCAGTTGGTAGAGCGCAAGGCTCTTAACCTTGTGGTCGTGGGTTCGAGCCCCACGGTGGGCGCAGTGTATTCTTTTTAAAAATTTAGCTCTTTATCATCTGTAAATCATAATAAAATCATTTTTACAAAACCATAACCAAAAAGCCCGTTTAGCTCAGTTGGTAGAGCGCAAGGCTCTTAACCTTGTAGTCGTCGGTTCGAGCCCCACGGTGGGCGCAGTGTATTTTTTAAAAAAATTTAGCTCTTTATCATCTGTAAATCATAATAAAATCATTTTTACAAAACCATAACCAAAAAGTCCGTCTAGCTCAGTTGGTAGAGCGCAAGGCTCTTAACCTTGTGGTCGTGGGTTCGAGCCCCACGGTGGGCGAAATGGATTTTTTTCCAAATTATGGGCCTAATGCTACCTTGCGGTGCGAAATGGATTTCTTTTAAAATTACGGGCCTAATGTTACCTTGCGGTGTAACATTATTATAAGATAATATAGTGCCCATTTTAAAATAAGTACTTCAGGGTGCGAAATGGATTTCTTTCAAGATTACGGGCCCAATGCTACCTTCTAGATTATTATAAGATAATGCACATTTTAAAATAAATATTTCAAACTAGGTAATTGAATATTGAATTTGTTTATTTAAATTGGTGGTGTAATATTATTATAAGATAATGTCCATTTTAAAATAAGTATTTTAAAGTAAGTAATTAGGTAATTAAATGATGAATTTGTTTATTTAAATTGATAATTCAAAGTATATAAATTCAATATAATATATGATAGATTGATTATAATTGTCACTAAAATAAATGTTTGCAACTTTAATTTGTAATAACGCTAGTCTAAAAATGATAGTCTAAATAAATATTACTTTTAGTTTGAATTTCTCTAAATGATAGTCATTGTCATTGTCTTCATCCGTACTTCTTTTTTATTAGAAGTGTGTCATGTGCAATTGAGTTATTAGTGATAGTATAGAGAACATCGTCATGCAATGAGATTATGGTGTAGGAAGTTTTAGATTTACCTTGCTGTGTATATGACTGAGATTTTAGTTGTTTTATGAACTTTTTATCTTGCAAGTGCCTGTTGATATTTGGCAGTTGTACTTTTTCTCACTTCATGTTTCATGTGTTGTGAGATGTGTGCCGTTGATTCTCATGTGAAAGTATTGAACAAAATATTAATATTTACAGAAGGTTCATGGGTAGTACATCTTGTTTCATTTTCATCACTTGTTTACTTGATAGTAATAACAATGACTATACATGTAATATGAATACTAAGTGTTTTTGTTATCGAGGTTGATTTTGATTTTGCTTTTAATCCAAACATGTTAAGTCTATAAAATGAAATTAATTGTAAATTTATATTTGTTTTAATATATTTAAAGGATGTATGATAAGTATTTTATATACAAGATTAATGAATGTTGCAACAGTGACTATTTTTAAAATTTTTTCATTTTCTTGATTTGCAAGATTTATTACAACGTTGTCATAATTTCGATATCTTTTCGATGCGTCAAGTGTGTCACAATGTTCTATCGCGCTACGTTGTCCTCTTCGTAGCAGTAGGATGAATGGATATGGGTACAATAATGATAGATTTAGGTTCAGAAATTGGGGGTGAAATGTATGAAATGCGTACGTAAAATGAAATTGGGGTTAAATTGAATAGGGGGATATTGGGGGTTAATATGGGTCTTGCAAAATTATACTTTTGTCCATGGTCTTAACTCGAGTTAGAGACAAATCTGACCGGAGGGTAACATTAACTACAATTTAAAGAATTGAAGGACTCAATTTCATAAAATTGACAATGAGGCACCACATTGCAGATATGGAAACAATTGAGTGACTAAAAATGCGATTATATATATATATATATATATATATATATATATATAATGAAAAAATTTAGCAAGTGCGAGTCAGCCGGTTAACTCGGCTAACTCGATCGAAATGGACGAGTTAACTCGGTCGAGTTAGGTGCTAGGCGGGCGCCTAGGGAGAAAATTGCCACGGCTTAGGGGCGCATAGCGTCTAGGCAGTGCCTAGATCGATTTTTGCAACACTAAAAAAATACGTCGGGCAATGATTGAAACTCTCTTTTTTGCCATCACTCAGCTCTTTGGTGAATTTTGGAAGTGACACAACAATGCTTGTTTATCGGGTGCATTATGAATAAAGTTTAGGAAGATCAATTTGGGCCTCTTCTTAGTGCCACATGATTGACAGAGACTCCTAATTGCTTGGGGTTCCCCCCCTCCAAAGGATAAGAAAAGAATGGGCATCCCAATAGAAAGAGGTTTGTCAATGACACTACGCGAAGGACTGATTGGACGATTCACAATTTAGTCTAGTGTAAAAAAATTGGATGAAAAATAACACATATAAACGTCCCTTTTAGTCAATTGACCAACTTTTTTCATCGTTCATATTTATTTTCTTAAAACCTTATCCATAGCACCAAAAACCTCAATATATGAGTTTCAACTTTCAAGTGTAAAAAAAAATTGTCAAAATACGAAAATGTTACCCTAAAAGTTTTTGTTTACCATATGTATTAATAATTTATCGACAATATAGGTTACACAGGCTTAGGTCAATGGTTGACAGTATTTGGGAGGAGAATTTACTGACAATATACATTCACAATATATCACACCATTAATAAAATAACGGATAAAAAATAATTAAAAACATAACATCTATTAAGTTTAATTTTACTATGCGTGTGTAAGATTAAAATTTTGTTTGTTTAAACAATGGTTACAAAGTAATGGGAGGAGGGGTAACCTTAACCTTAAACTATGAAAATGATGATTTAAGGATGTTTAATCAAATGCATAAGTGGAGAAACAGGGGCAAGATCGGAAGAAATTTCAAACAATATTCCAAAAATTCCAAGTCCACCTCACGGAAAAGAGGTGGTTACTGACTTACTCGCGTATTAAAGAAGTGTCAATGTAGAATTACTATCACACCCTTTCTATTGGAAGAACGACGCCGGATGGGAGCGTAAAACGCAGGGGTCACAATCGTCATACAAAAACAACCGCCTTACGGGTCCCTAATAAAATCAATTTCTCTGTTACTGAAAACTGCTTTGCAGTTAGGAAGGTTGGGACTATATATATATATATAGAGTTAGAGAGAGAAACATAACAAACCGAAAAGCTAGAGAGAGAGAGAGCGAGAAGGCGACGATGGAAGGAGAAACGGAGGAGCGAAGCGATTTGAAGCTGGTTGCTGTTGCCGCCTCCGACGCTAATGGCGATGGCGCATCCGTCGCGGTTGACGGCGCGGAGGCGATGGTGCTGGATGGCGGTGGGGATGAGAACTGCGGCAGCGGTGGAAAAGTGAAGGGGCCGTGGTCGCCGGAGGAAGACGCGATACTGTGCGAGCTGGTGAGTAAGTTCGGGGCGAGGAATTGGACCTTGATCGCCCGGGGAATCCCGGGGCGGTCTGGGAAGTCGTGCCGCCTTCGCTGGTGTAATCAGCTTGACCCTGCTGTTAAGCGCAAACCTTTTTCCGGTAAAACCATCGCCATTTCCAATTCAATCTCGCTTTTTGACCTTTGCTTTGGTGTTGACTTTGGTCAAAGCTTTTTTCTGCTGGTTTCATATGTTACTCTTGTCAATAATTCCCCCATTTTCTGGTGATTATGTGTTTCTCTGCTGTACATAATCATTCTATATTTCTATGTTTCCATTTTGGTTGGTCGGGATTTGGGCGTAAGTTTCATAGGGGAAGTTGACAATGCTTTACTTTGTATTCAATTGCAGTGGGAGAGATTGAGAGAAATTTTCTTTTGCGCATTTCCATTCAAATTGAGAAGTTTAACGGTTTATTACAGCTTTTAGCTTTAGAGTAACCAAGAGACTCGTTAGTTTCAGTGTATGTGCATATAAAAGCAGCAATTTGAGTAATTTAGACTCGTTAGACTACAATGTAGTTTTGTTCCATGTCTGAGTTTAAGTAGACTACAATGATTCTTTAGCTCTTACATGTGATACTTCTTCCTGCTGTGAATCCTTTGCTTAAAGCTAGTGTTTTGGATCTACTTGGATGCATTATCACAGTGTAGTTTCAGTCCTTGTGTGATTTTAAGAACTCTTCACTTGGCAGGGAGCAGAAGGTGAATCTTTGGATCTTTTGTCATACTTGATCATGCTGTGAACCAATTCGTTGAAGTTAGGATCTTAGATATATTCAAATGTCTGTTCAAAACATCCTTCATTGGTGTGAAGAATGAGAAGGATAGACTCCATAAAAAAATTATCAAGTGACAAGAATGTGTTGGTTAGTTGGTAAAGCACCCCTACTTGCAACCATTAGGTAGTGGGATTGAGTTATTCCTAGGACATGCACAGAACCACGATTTTCCCTGTGTTTACTGTGGCTCCAAGAAAAATATTAAATGAATGAACTTTTCTTGTTCTTGTATTTTGAATTGTTCAGTTGCTTTCAGGTACTAGGAACATAGAGATGAGACGGGTACAAACTAGGGAAAGATGTTGAAGGTTGTTGTAATGTCTGGTAGGGACCTTTGGCTAATAAATTTTGGTTAGCTTTTGAGGTAAAACTGTAAAAGGTTATTATGCAAGCTTTAATTACTTAGCGGCTGTATCTTGTCCTGAGTCTTTTCTCAGTCAGTCTACCTTTTGGAGTGTGTTCCCTTTAAACCACTATTGTGTAGCTTACAGTCCCAATAGGAAGAATAATTTGTTTTACTTGGTGCATGAGTACTTTTACTCAAATATATTGCAAGTTATGTGACAATGATAGTTTTCCTTTCCATGACTGAATGTTAATAAGAGGCTATTTATATTATCAGTACTTTCATTTGTATTTTCAACCAATAAAAGGGTTTTTTTCCCCATGCATGAAGTTTACTTGAATTAGATAAGTGTAGTACCATGATATTATGGGTCCTATATATCATATCCTGATTAGGGATTCATTGGGATTTGAATCTGCTGGTTAAATTTGTCTTGTAATTTCTGTTTCCTTTTCTATCCAAAAAAGCAAGTTATTTGTTGTTGACAAACAGGCATAGCTTTCAGGCATAGCTTACAAACAGGCATAGCTTTCAGCTCTGATATCATTCCTGCTGTTGACTGCAGTATTTGTGAACCTAGAGGCCAAACTTTGGGCGCTTCACTTCTATAGTTCTATTAGTTTTGAACTTGAGACCTGAAAGCTTGTGCTAGTTCCCTAGCACAATACTCATTTAATATCACTATCTGACATAAGGTTGCAAGTAGTTAGGCTTCATGATCTAAAGAAGATGTTTGCTGAGAAGAATCAGAAGATATCCTACTTCTGCACAGATTTAGAAAGCTGATTTGTCTTTGTAGTAATTAATATGCTTCAAAAATTGTCATCAGATGTTCAGAAACTTTTAAGTTGAAAATCAGGCACCATTTTGAACATTTCAATTCCAAGAATTGCATCTTATGATTCAGATACAAGTATGCAACTTGTCAAGACCTTTCTTTAGGGACACATTGGCACAATTTCTAAGACTCTTTGAGCCATGTGTCATTTTATCTTTATTGACTATATTAATTCATAATGTTTCTCTTCTGGTGGATGTTCATGCCCTTCAAATTTGGTGTTGGATAATAAGTTCAGGGAGTTAACATGAAAATGGTTCCGGCTCTTAATCTAAGAAATTGTATCATTTCCAAAGAAATCTTTGTGGTTGTAAATTATGCTGTAACCACTTAGGATGCGTCCACTTAAAAGGATAAATGTTGAAACTATTAGAACCAATTACTTCTAGATTGTGAAGTCTTTGATAGTCAGGAGTATGTTCAATGAACCAAGAAAGTGAGATGTTAGCTTTTTCATGTTTTGCAAACAAGCTTGATTTGAACTTTGGAAGAGGTTTCATAATATTCCAACCGTTGCATCATTATTTTCTCTATAAGCTCATATTTGTTGATTAGGGAGTCATTTTATGGTGACAACTGTACACAAACTACCCTGATGACTACATAACTGAGCCAGAAAGTATGCTATGTAATATATATTTTTGTATTATCTACATAACTGAATCAAATATAATAATACAATGTAATATATACATCTGTGTTTTGGTTTTGTGGTGTGTCTGTATTGTATCTGTCTATTATGATCATGAATGAAACCTCTTTACCTTCTGTTACTTGGTAATCCAAGGGGAGAATGTAATGTAATTTGGAAACTTGTATTCTCTCTTTGTTCTATGTTTTTTTTGGGGCCTTTCCTTTTGGGGAAGGGGTGGTGTGGTATATTATTTTGATGATTTTTCTCCTGTACTTGTATATATTTCTTAGGCTTTATTTATCCAAATGCATCCATTTTCATTCAAATCCCTTGAAACTGCTGTTTCTGAAATGAAATCTAATACATTATAGCATGCTGCAGAGGAAGAAGACCAGATTATAATTGCTGCACATGCAATTCATGGAAATAAATGGGCCTCGATTGCAAAAATGCTCCCAGGTAGAACAGACAATGCAATCAAGAACCACTGGAATTCTACTTTAAGACGTCGGTTTGCAGCAACTAATAGGTCTACATTACAATGTGGGAACATGTTTGACGACCAGAGTGTTGACAGGGCCAGGGCATCGTCTGAAGAAACCAAGTCATGCGGATATATCAACCAATATAAATCCCTGGAGGGAGGGGACACGAGCCATGCGGAATGCAGGCCCAACCAAACTGAGGACACGCCTCAGGTGATTGAGAAGTGTTGTGCTCCAGACAAAACTTCGCCTGTCATTTATGAAAGCAATCTCCCTGCTCCTGCTGCAAACAGCAACCCTTCTGTCTCCCGCCCTGTTGCTAAAATTGGTGCGTTTAATGTTTATTACCCTTCCAGTGCTGGCTGTGCATCTTCTAGCACAATGCCTATGCAGGGCCCTCTCATCCACCCATCCATGCCAGACTTGGAGATCTGCAACTTTCTCAAAAGCGCATCTACTGATCCCTTGATTCCTTCACAGTGCGGCCATGGATGCTGCAGAGCTCCCTGTGGTGGCGGTTCTTCTCAAAGCTCATTGCTGGGGCCCGAGTTCATTGAATTCGAGGAACTCCCTCCGATTTCCAGCCACAAGTTGGCTGCCATAGCCAAAGACCTGAACAACGTCGCCTGGATAAGAAGCAGCCTCGAGAATCCTGACAGAGTACCAGACAGCAGAACTCCTCTATATGCTTCAACCAATACAGAGATGGAACACAGCATGAAAACCGACCAGCTTTGCTTTGAAGGTAGAAACCAGTTAACAGTGCCAACCACAAATACCTTTCCAAAACTTCTCCAGTTTGCAACCTGAAAGCTATTGGCTTTATCTATACAATACATGTATGGTTTTTTGTGTTAAACTCTTCTTGCCTATTAGGAGAGATTGGAGCAGAATTTTTGTAATGTGCATTTGCATCCTTTGTCTATACATCTATGGTTACTTCAAATATAACTTCTAATTCAAATATTCATCTCAGAAATTAAAATTCAAAGAGATGGGGAAACCCAAGTCAAGTTAGTGATGTTATTGATGTGGTAATTATAATGTTACAAGTTCAATTTTTAGTAGGAATAGTCTATTAGCATTTTTGGTTTGAGTTGATCAGTTACGAATAATCTCCTTGTGATTTATTTTTTTTTTGGCTAAGTTTATGAGGTAGTATTTACCGGTGCACACATTCAGATAGTGATTATGAGTTTCCTTTGTCACCCAAAAAAAAGTCAAAAGAGATCGAGAACAATTTCACATGTTCCTCTATGCTAAGGTTGGATTAATTGGATGTCGAATTATTATTAAATTATATCAAAATTTATTCTTTTGAACACGAGGGACTTGGCTAAGTTGGGTGTATAGTTGCTTTATTGTTGAATTATTTGAGACAAAATCTTGATTTTGCTTCACTTCAAAATTATTGGAGAATAAAATGTATAACATGTAACAAATCTTCTGTACTAGCAATAGATACACATATCATGGAAGAGAATATTTTCCTTAATTATTTCTTTTTCCCTGGTGGGATCAAACCTAACATGTCTGCATGAATGACAATCCTTTGCCCTCTTACACCTAAATGACCTAATTCATAGTACTTTGACCAACCACGTTGCGTTGGGACCCTGTTCCGCATTTGATTCATCAACTCTTCTTTTTCCCTTCAACTCCCATGGTTCATCATTAAATAAATAAACTCACAGCCGCAAAATACGTTCTAGGTGAAAATTGTCCTAAGATCCTAGTTGACAAAAAATCACAAAAAAAATAAATTAACATAAATTGTTTATATCTGGTTGGTTTAAACAAGAAGATCAATAAGCAATTGTCATGAAGAATTTGTAATTATTAGGTTAATTGTCAAATTTGAGTGAGATTGTCCGCCCCATATTTATAATATAATCCTAATCATATTAAACAATTAATTGGAATGTGTATAATCAAATAATGAAGAGTTTATGAGGTGAAGTGGCGTCATTCACGGGGAGAAAGACTTTTGGATTGTGTTTGACGCCATCAACAGGTGAGAAGTCAAGAGAAATTAGATGTTGAAAAAGGACTTGGATGAATCTTGTTTATGTGTAACAATCTGTATATTAGATTGAAGAAATACCACCCACCTGATGTTATTTCAGCTTATTTATGAATACAACTGTGATTACAAATCTCAAAGATGGTATTGACAATTAAATGTTGAAGCGCCACGTACTGCATGCAAATTGTAATTGCCTTGCTATATATTTGTTTTGAAAACAATTGCCTCTTCAATCTTCAATTATTCTCTATAGGCCGGGCTATTGGTTCGTGAAATTCTTAGTGAGGAGGTGTTTGATTTCAACCTGATACCAGATGAGAACTAATTGTATTGTATTAACTGAACTTGATTACAATGAGATTAGATGATGTGAATATATACAATAGAGAGTCACAGTGTGACAATAATAAGAAGTAGAGAGTCACAGTGTGACAAGGATAAGAAGTTCTAAACAGACTCATATACATAGAGTCCTAATAGGTTGACCTTCAAAAAAAAAAAAAAAAGATTGAAGAAATAAATCTACTATACTAATAAGAGCCTAAGAAAGTTAGGCCTATAATAGGTTGAAAAAATGATGATCAAATTTTTTAATCAAATTTTAATTTTTCCTTAAGATTTCTTAATTTATCCTTAATGAATATAATTATCCGTTTACTTTTTCGTTAAATATTATCTTTTCCGTTAATTTTTGTTAGTTCACCGTTAACTTACTCATTGATTTCAATAAGAAAGGTCTTAAATTCCAACCTCATTCCAATCAAAATTAGCATAATTAGTACTCTACTTTACTCTTATTAAATTACTAATACACTATAAAGATTCGGTGTGGGTTTAAATTGAGAGATTAATCACACTATAAAAATTATGTAAAATTCAATTAAAAAAAATCAATAATAATTAAACTTGTAACCTTTTAATAATTATGTAAACTTCATCCTCCCTTAGTCCCTTTTAAGACAAATACATTATACATGCACTTTAGTTAATATCGGGTTTGTCTAAGAATTTATGTTGTGGACCGTCCGACAACTCCCCATATCCCCACGTCCAAATCTATCCGATAAGATGTTTTGCAATTTGCAATTAAAAACAGTTTTCTTCCCACAATTAACCTACGAATTTTCTACCAGCATTTACTCTTTTTAGTCTCACTTTAGTTTATACATATATACATTTTATTTGCATACACTAAAATAATTAATACCGAATTACAAAAAATATAAATCATAAGTGTGACATGTGCTGAGTGGTCAATTGGTTAAACACTTAAATGGTAGTATCATATCCATGGCAACGAGTTAATACCTAATATAGTCCTCGACTATAGTGGTTTTACTCAGTTTAGTCCTAAATGACTTTTTTGTACTCTATTTAGTCCTCGACTTTAATGATTTTACACACTTTAATCCTCCGTTAAAGATTCCGTTTGTTGGCTGTTAATAACAAGGTTAATAGGGTAATTTCATTTTCTTTTTATTTTTTTTATCAAATTAATTAATTAATTAGTAATTACATTTTCTAATTTTTCTCCCAATTCTAATATTTGCCGCCGATACAATTCCTCCCTCCCCAATCCCCATCACTCTTCTCAAATTTTTCTCCCAATTCTAGTATTTGCCGCCGATACAATTCCTCCCTCCTCATCCCTCTTCTCATTCTTCTGCCGATACAATTCCCCTCCCCATCCCTCTCACAGGAAGCGAATACAGAGCAAAAACTTACTGGAAACAAGCACACAACAAACACACGACAAACTTACGCACTGCTGGCACTGGGAGCAAACGCAGAACTGGAAGCAACACACCATGGGGGATTCAAGAAGAAGAATTGGAAACAAATGCCCGCCAAAATACGGTACTCACAAAAAATCTTGTTAGTAATTTTGTTTATGTGGATTTAACTCATTTCTTAATAGCTGTTCGAACAATTTAAGCTTGAAATCTGTTTAAATTATGAAGTTGTGGCTTGAAATCTGTTTGTACATTGGATGCAAGTTTTAACTTTATTAAGGTGTTAGCAAAGGCTGTTGAGTGCTTGTTGATGAGGCAGTGGTTCTTCACTAATTAATTTGGTTCTTCACGACTAGGAATGCCTCATCGACAAGGAAGCGGAAGAAGGAGAGAAATTAATGAATGCCTCATCGACAGGGAAGCAAAGAAGGAGAGAAATTATGGAATGCCTCATCGACAGGGAAGCAAAGGAGAGAAATTAGGAAATTTAATTACTAATTAATTTGATAAAAAATAAAAGGAAAATGAAATTACCAAATTAACCTTGTTATTAATCGCCAACAAACAGAATCTTTAACGGAGGACTAAAGTGTGTAAAACCATTAAAGTTGAGGACTAAATAGAGTACAAAAAGTCACTTAGGACTAAACTGAGTAAAACTACTATAGTCGAGGACTATATTGGGTATTAACTCCCATGGCAACATATTAAACTTGATCGAGGCGTGCACAATTGGTTAAACACTTATATCATATCCATGGCAACATATTAAACTTGATCGAGGCGTGCAAACAAAATATGGCTTGGCATAGGTAAGTAATGGAGTGTTCCGACATTCCATGGCTACAACATTGAGCAAAATAGGATTGCTGATTGGTTAGTGAATTGTTTGTTTGGGCACGCTTGGGATTTGACCTAGGCGTGCAAGCAAGATCTTGAATTTATTGTGTTATTACAAAAGACTAGTTCAATTTTTCTCAACCTACGAGAATGCCATTATGAAAGATACAATAATTAAATTTTTTTGTTTCCCTTTTTGAGATTTTCCATCCAAGTTTATTAAAACAAAAAAAAAAAAAAAAAAAAAAAAAAAAAAAAAGAGTTTGTCATCAGACCAACACTTTAAGTAGATTAATATGTAAGGTTATGATTAATAGTAGTGCATGGATGCATGTTTCAAATAAAGTTGATGTCTTGTAAACATATGTCTATGGTTTTAAGAATATAATAACTTGATCGGAATAAGGTTCAAATTGGCCACTGAACGTAACCTGAAAATGCAATTAGACCACTGAACGAAAAAAAAGTGCAATTAGGTCATTGAACACTCAAAAAATGTGCAATTAGGCCACTGAACTCTTCAAACGTATGCAATTTTACCGGATAGCAAGTTACCATCAATTTTAGCAGGTTACCTGCTTATGTGGCAGCTTAGTTGGCATTTTTAATAATTTTTAATAATTAATTTTAATAATAAATTTTATAAAAAATTGAAAAAAATTAAATAAAAAATAAAATAAAGTCGTTTTTATTTTTTAAAAAAATTTTGTAATAAAAAGTTATTATTAAAATTTATTAAAAATTAATTAAAATTTATTAAAAATGCCAACTCAGCTGCCACGTAAGCAGATAACCTGCTAAAATTGAGGGTAACCTGCTATCAAGTGAAATTGCACATTTTTGGAGTGTTCAGTGGCCTAATTGCACTTTTTTTTCGTTCAGTGGCCTAATTGCATTTTCAGGTTACGTTCAGTGGCCAATTTGAACCTTATTCCTAACTTGATCATACATATCCATAGATAATAAGTTAGCTTAATTGACTTTTTCAGTTTTTTGTGATCCTTTTCAAACTAAGGGTTTACTAGGGTTTTCCGCTCTCTCTCTTGTGTTTCAAGGTTTTCCGGCGCAAATCGGGCGTTCTCTCCGGGTATTGTGACGGCGTAACAGTGATGGAAGGGACGGAGCAAGAAGCGGCGACGCAGCAGGCGGTGGCGGCGTTGGGCCGCCGATGGGCGGACGTGGTCTTGGACGACGAAGAAGACGATGTTTTTGTGCCGGCGGTGGAGGAAGGCGCTGAACAGCCGGCCGAGGCAGCACCAACGTGGCGGCTAATTGGTAGGTTCCTAACTACCAAGCTTGTGAAGGCGGAGTACATGAGTCAGCTCATGGCTTCGGTTTGGCAGCCGGTGAAGGGGGTTCGGGTCTCAGAATTGCAACCGGGGCTGTTTCTCTTTGTGTTCTTCCATGATACGGACATTCAGTTGGTTCTAGATGGTGGTCCATGGTCCTTTGAGAACCACACTTTTGTTTGCAAGCAAATCCACGATGGTGAGATACCGGTCTCGGTACCGCTGGATTCGGTTGATATGTGGATACAGGTGCATGACTTGCCGTTGGGCTATACCTCGGATCTTATTTTGGAGCAGGTAGGAAATTTTTTGGGTGTTTTTATCAAGATTGATGATAGGTTCGCGAATGCACCTTGGAAGACGTTCTACTGGATTAGGGTTTCAATCTCGGTCTTGAAACCGCTAAAACGGCGTATGAAACTAATGAAGAGGGATAAAACGACTTGTTGGGTAAGTTTCAAATATGAAAGATTACACAACTTTTGTTACTTCTGTGGTATGATGGGGCATCTTCATAAGTACTGTTTGAAGGCGCGGGATGCAAAACTACCGGTAGAGCAATATCCGTATGATGAGAGTTTACGTGCTGGTTTTAGAAAAGGACCACGAAAAGTGGGTGCTTCGTGGCTACTTGATATGAATGGCAACCCGATGACAGGAACACGGCCAGATATGGTACATAGGCCACGGGTTGATGGGCAGGAAGGGGGGCCAACTGGGCTTTCACGTAACCAGGTGGAAGGTGATGTGGTCACGGCTGCGAGCAAGAGAAGAAGGGCTGAGGCCAATGATGGGGGTGATGAGAGAGTTGGTGGAGATGTGATTATGACAGAGATCCAAAAAAACTTGTCCATGGCGGGTTCTGGTTCCCAGACCCGCCCGTCATTATGAGTACTATCAGCTGGAACTGTCGTGGCTTGGGCAATCCACGAACAGTTCGAGAATTAACGGACCTTGCGTCCAGAAAGAAGCCTGATTTTATTTTTCTTATGGAAACAATGGTGCAACGAATACATGCTGAAAGAATTCGTGTCACCCTTGGTTTTGAGGGACTTTTTTATGTTGATCCGACACCGCAGGGTGGTGGTGGTTTAGCACTGTTATGGCGGAAGAATAATACAGCAAGTTTATTGAGTTACTCTAGAAATCACATTGATATTGAAGTAAAAATGCCTAGCTTTCCGAGGTGGAGAATGACATGTTATTATGGCTACTCTCAGCGCCATAGGAGGGCAGAAGCATGGGAGTTGATAAAGTCCTTTGCATCCCGGTCCACCTTACCATGGGTTATGATTGGGGATTTTAATGATCTCCTATTCCAGCACGAGAAGAGAGGAGGTAATCCACACCCTAATAATCTCCTACGCGGCTTTGGGGAGACTATTGACCAGTGTGGCTTGACTTAGTTGCAGATGGAGGGTTACCGGTTTACTTGGGAAAAAGGAAAGGGTACGCCAGCTTGCATTGAAGAACGATTGGATAAGGTATTAGCATCTAATGATTGGCGTGACATTGTGCCTGGGGCTAGGCTGATTAATAATCTAATGAGGAGGTCGGATCATTCTGCATTATTTTTGAGTGTCTATGGACTGTTACAAAACGGAGGAGGAGGAAGGAGAGGGTTTCGGTTTGAAATGGCCTGGTTGTATGATGATGGATGCAGGAATGTGGTGGAGAAGTCGTGGGAGGAGGGGAGGAGTGTAGGGATCCAGGACTGTATAACACACTGTGGGAACAAATTGTCAAGATGGGGCAGAGACCGGTACCATAAGTTTGGTGAAAAAATCAGACTCCTGCGGAAGCAACAGTTACATCTTAGGGGTCGTACTGATGTGGCATCCTTGAATGAATTCCAGCGCCTGGAAGGAATTCTGAGTAATATGGAGATCCAAGAAGATGCTTACTGGAGGCAAAGGGCAAAACAACACTGGTTAAGGAATGCGGATGCTAATACGAAATTCTATCACAGGTACGCCTCTCATCGTAAGAAGAAAAATACTATTTATAAACTTATGAATGATAGTGGGGATTGGGTGGAAGGTGATGCTATGAGTGCAGTTATTTTGGATTATTTTAGCCATATATTTTCTTCCTGTAACCCATTGAATGGTGACAATCTGTTTTCTGGAGTATCCCCCGGGTAACCCAGGATCAAAATGAGTCATTATTACGACCCTTTGAGATATTTGAGGTTAAAGATGCTCTATTTGCGATGGCCCCTGACAAAGCACCTGGACCAGATGGTATGAACCCAGGATTTTATCAACAATTCTGGGATATAGTTGGTAGTGATGTTGCGGCATTTATAGTGGATTGCCTAAACAACCGTGTTTTGCCCCCCAATTTGAATGATACAGATGTGGTACTCATCCCCAAGAAGAAAACCCCTCAAGTGGTAGCAGATTTTCGCCCGATAGCATTAAGCAATGTAATATACAGGATAATGGCTAAGATGATTACCCAGAGAATGAAGCCGTTAATGGGAGATTTAATTTCTGCATCCCAGAGTGCTTTTATACCAGACAGGCTGATTACTAATAATATTCTTGTAGCTGCGGAAGTAGGGCACTACCTGAATAGAAAACAATGCGGGGCAGTAGGATGGAGTGCACTCAAACTGGATATGGCCAAAGCTTATGACCGCATGGAATGGCCCTTCCTCCGTGGGATGTTGTTAGCTTTGGGCTTTGATGATAGATGGGTTGAGTTACTTATGTTGTGTGTGACCACTGTGTCGTATAGCTTTATGATAAATGGCGCTCGCAGTACCTCCATTACACCCACGCGTGGCCTCCGCCAGGGAGACCCATTATCTCCGTATTTATTTATCATATGTGCAGAGGGGCTCTCACTATTATTGCAGCAGGTGCAGAATAGAGGTTTAATACATGGTTGCAGGGTTGCTAGAGGCGCACCACCGATCTCTCACTTATTTTTTGCAGATGATAGCCTACTGTTTTTTAGAGCAAACAGACACGAAGCATCTGAAATAACGAATTGTTTACAGTTATATGAGAGCTTATCCGGCCAGAAAGTAAACTACCACAAATCCAGCATATGCTACAGCAGGAATACAGGGCAGAATGATAAAGATATGGTGGCACAAATACTGGGGGTTACACAAGCCCCCAACTTTGGGAAATATCTGGGGCTGCCTTCTTTTGTCGGACGGAACAAAAAGGCGGCATTCGCATACATTGAGGATAAAATTAAGCAAAGGGTTGGATCTTGGAATAAGAAGTTGCTAACGCAGGCCGGGAAGGAAATATTGTTGAAAAGTGTGGCCCAGGCAATGCCAACTTTTTCAATGAGTGTTTTTCTTCTACCAATATCTGTTTGTACGGCTATTGAGCGTACTATGAATCGGTACTGGTGGGGGTCGGGTTCGGATCGTGGCATACATTGGAAAGCCTGGGATAAATTGTGTATCCCAAAGAAATATGGTGGACTGGGATTCAAAGATCTAAGGGCATTTAATTTGGCAATGTTAGGAAAGCAGGCATGGAGGCTGCTCACTAACACAGACTCATTGGTAGCCAAAGTTTATAAAGCAAGATATTATCCAAAGGATACTTTCCTAGAGGCAACTATAGGAAATAATCCAAGTTTTTGTTGGCGCAGTATCATGGCAGCGAAGGATCTAGTATGTGGTGGCATAAGAAGAAGAGTTGGGAATGGAAGTTCTACCTTGATATGGGAGCATCCCTGGCTAAATGATGAACTGGACCCTATGATTCACACGGAAATGCCGCAATATCTGTCTGGGGCCAAAGTAATAGGGCTAATTGATCGCGATACAGGCACCTGGGATCCGCATATATTGGCAGATATTTTCCAACCAAGTGATATACCTAGAATTCAGATTATACCAATTGCCCCTGAGTATGATGATATATGGTATTGGTATGGTGACCCTAATGGATGTTATTCAGTCAAGAGTGGCTACAGGCATATAGTGGGGAGTTATGAGCATAATTCTAATGGTATTTTTAATGAATGGTTATCCCTATGGAAATTAAAAATACCACCAAAGTGGAAGACATTCTTGTGGAGAGCTATTTGTGATATCCTTCCTACCACAAACAATCTGCTTATAAAGAGAGTGGATGTTAACCCATTGTGTGCCATGTGTGGAAATGTGAATGAAGATACCATGCATGCATTAGTTTTGTGTGACTATGCACACTCCATTTGGGCAAAATCCAACCTTCCAATCCCCAATATTATCACAAATATTTTCCATGAATGGTTTAGTGCAATCTTGAATGTTCTAGACTTTGATGGAATTGTTTATGCAGCTGCAATTTTATACCATCTTTGGAGGGCCAGAAACGGAGCGGTTTGGGATGCCTGCCTACCAACACCAACGAAATTATTGTCAGTGGCGGCTGCCACAATGAAAGCTTGGAAGGATATTCACCACCGCCACTTGCCGTCACAGCCACGGACCGCCAGCCACCACGTCGCTGCCGAACAGCACCCACTGCCGCCGCTGGGACCGAACGCCGAGCCTGCCGGGAACGGACTGCCGCCGCTGCAAGCTGCCGCTTCGGAATCCGTGATTGGCGAGATGATGACACCCGTCAAATGTTATGTGGACGCAAGTTATCATCGAGGAACCAATGTCGCGGCTGTTGGTGCGGTACTCCTCGATGCCAATGGCCACTACATATCCGCCTTCAGCGCCCCGTTAGCAGGTTGCCACTCACCGCTCATGGCCGAGGCTTTGGCATGCAAAGAAGCTTTATCATGGCTTAAGAGGAGGAATGAGCTATCTATACGGATTCATACGGATTGTCAACAGTTACAGTGCTACTTATCTGGGCCACCACCCACGTTACGCTCGCATTTAGGTTATGCCATCGATAGTTGCAGAACCTATATGTCTGCCTTTAATTTTTGTTCAGTGCTTTACATTCCTAGATTACAGAATTTATTAGCTCATACTTTAGCTACTTCAGCACTTAGTTTCAATACTGCTATGTACTGGAACAATGTTCCACCAGACTCTATTTTAACTCTTCTATAAATACAACCGCCAGGTTGACTTTCAAAAAAAGGTCACAATACGGACTTCACCAAGCCAGAATACACATTCATGAAGTAGTAATTATGGATTTTTTCATAAATTAAAGTATAACTCAATTACTCATATATAATCATGAAACTTAGTTCAGCTAATTAAAAACATATATGTTCAAGTAAGAATAATATCTCTAATTACAAATCCATATTTAAATATTTTGAAATTTAATTTGTTTTTAGTGCAAATAATGTGCAATAACCATGAATTGGCCAATATAATAATGGGTTAGAATCTTTACAGGTCTCAAGGTAAAGACAATACATTCGTGTTTTATTTGCTAACATCACCTGGACATGCTGACATGGGATAATGCTAAACTCCATACGGGGTCACTCATCATATATCGTGTGTGAACGTGCATTGCATGATTGAGAACCTTTAATAAATAAAAAAAAAAGGTTAATCCTAGTTTCGAATGTGTCTATTATATAGTTTTTTTTTTTTTTTTTTTTTTTTTTTGGTTTTTAAGATTTTGTAAATAAGATAAATCAAGTTATATATTTTGATGAGTCAACAATCAAAGAGTTTGCAATTTAAATTTTTAACTTAAGTCCGTAATCGATAAGAATCGAATTCTCAATATCATGTTGTCAATAACTCAGTGTTATTAAGACTTACTTTACAAACTCTAACCTAATAACCTTTACACTACCATTTTATAACTGGGCTTGAGGGCTTTTCTGGATCCCACATTTTCAGTGGTATAATTAATTTTTTTTTTCTCTTTTTTTATGACGAGAAAAACTCACAGTTACTACTCGATGGTATTCATTCACAGAAAAAATACACAGTCACTATTCAAGAATGTGCAATGAGTACTACACACTCTCGGGTAGTTGATGCGGGTTGCCATTGTCACCCAAAACAAACTAATTAATTAGTTTTTGAACTTTAATTAAGAGTAAATTAATGTATGATTAGGGTATAATTAGGGCGAGATTATTAGGCAACAAACCACCGCGCGCAATCGGCTCGGAGTCCGGACAGTGTTTTGGATTGAGCGGCGTCGTGATTTGCTAGTCATGTTAGCTGGTGTTCCAAATGTTGGGTGCACCCCCTAATTCTTATTAGGTGGGGCCCACGTTTTATGTTTAGTGATTTGTATTTTAAGGAAAGATGTCGCTCTAATGTGATCCTCACTCCCACATTAGCAGCCAATTGTTATTGCAAATGTTTCTTCAATCTAATCTAATTCTTTAATATTAAAATATTGTCTTCAAATCAAATAAAATTAGAACAAGCATCCCAACGTTTGATGCAAAATAATATTATCCTATTCCCCACGGACTAATGTAATTAGTAAATACATAGTACATAATAATTTGATTCGATATTTACAAGGTTCTAAGTTTGACTTTCTACAAAAATTATTTATTAGTTTCCTTGATTTGAGCTGATAAGTTATAGACAACTTAAATTGGTTTACTTCGCTATGGTCTTTTACTAGCTAGGTCACAACTCACAAGGCAGGTTTCACCCATGATGCATTTTCCAGTAGTGGCCGTGGACATCCCTATAAATACAAAGTGTAATAATGACTTGTATTTAATCATATCTCACATGAGTTCTGCTAGGTATACAGGGTGTACTCTCAATTCATACCTTCTCAATTTTATTTCTTGATGTAGTGTGTATTGATAATCTACTTTTTTTATGTGAGTTTCACAAAAATGTCTAAATCAAAATTTTTGAGTGTGAAAATAAAAGAGTTTTACTACATGTACTCCCAATGGCTACTCCCTCACTTTCACTCACTGACGTGACACCACCAATTGATAAGTTATCTTCATTCTGTGGGTTTCAAGAAAAATATCTACATCAAAATCTCTACTCCATGACGTGACAACCGTTGTTAAATTATCTTTATTCTGTGGATATATCTATATCAAAATTTTAAGTGAGAGAGTAAAAGTTTAGAGTAGAATTAGAGAATTTAAGTAATATTTTTTGAATAAAAATTGAAAGTAATGAATGAGAGTTTACCCATTAGTTTCCTATTCACAGCTTGGTTTGAACTACACCAACTATTATTTTAACCCGTATTGGTATTTCAAATTTCAAAACCAAACCAAAGACAAGGCCAAACGTATGAGAAATCACATAAGATGGAACAAGTAACACTATCCTACTTACTTTTATATCTATATACTCAATTTTAAAAATATAATATTGATTTCTGGCTCTTTTTTTTTTTTTTTTTTCCGTATTATATTGGTATACACATTTCATAAGATCAACTAACCTAACAAAATATCAATTGATCTCGTTAGTGAATAGTGACAACTCTTTCAATAACATTTTTGCATACATACACGTCTCGGTTTTTTATTACTACGTATTTGAGCACTGTTGTTTTCAAGATACCAAACATAACCGTACCCCAGGGTTAGTTGAAGAGGTTGAACCTATTTCTGTGTTGTCATCAACTTCCCCCCGATTGGTTACGACACAGACAAACAAAGCCACGTTGGTGGCGGCCCACCGCCCCCTTCCTCTTCCCCAATATATTTCTGCAACTCTCACCTCCCTGTTCAACCCTGCATTGCAAACTTCTTCTTCTTCTACTTTCTCTGTTAATTGCTCCATCTGATGAGGACTTTGTGCCGGAATTTACATCGGGAAGATGGGTTGGAGACGGTGCTGGAAGTCCCGGTGCCGGAGGAGATGTTCCCGTCGACACAAAAGAACAAGTCATGGCAGAGTATGAAGAGCTGGATGAAATACCTTACCGAGAGATCATCTCCGCCGGTTTTACGTGGCCGGAGAGCCGAACTCCAGCTCCTGCTTGGCGTCGTCGGAGCGCCGCTTATTCCTCACCCTATCCCCTCTCACTGCCGCTCCTCCTCTCGGAAAAAAATCAACGATCATCCCATTGTAACTACTCGTCTTTCTCCTTACCACCGCTGAAAATTATGAAATTTTTGACACCTGAAAATGATCTCGCCTTGTTTCCACCACTTTTGGTATCCGGAAAAATTTTTGTTATTATTTCCGACCACTTTTTACTTTCAACTTCAGGTGGTCGGAAATTTCATAATTTCAGGCAGTGTACTCATCCCCATTTTTTTTTTTGAGTTACAATGAAAATTCACAGTCATTATATGGTAATGCAGGAGGCGTCGATGGCGAAGTACATCGTGCAGCAGTACGTGGCGGCAGCCGGCGGGGAAAGTGCTTTGAACGCCATTGATAGTATGTACGCAATGGGGAAGGTGAAGATGTCGGCGTCGGAATTCATTTGCGGAGACGGGCTGGGCTTGAACAATAATGGGAAGGTGATGAAAGTCAAGAGCGGTAAAAGCGGGCCGGGTGAAATGGGCGGGTTTGTTCTTTGGCAGAAGAGGCCCGATCTCTGGAGCTTGGAGCTGATGGTTTCCGGCTGTAAAATCAGCGCCGGAAGTGACGGCAAGGTGGCATGGCGGCAGACTCCATGGCACAGCTCTCACGCTTCTCGTGGCCCACCCAGGCCCCTTCGTCGTGCTTTACAGGTAACTTAAATACAACCAATTAATTACTCTAATTAATCACATTATAACCTCATTTCTTTTGGTTTAATTTTTGACTATTTGAAAGATATGTGATTCGGTAAATAGCTGTTAATTGATTGAGTTAGTGAATTTGACTAGTTGAAAAAATTATTTAGTAAATTGTAGTGTTTTTGAACAATAAGCTGTTACACTGGTTCTATATAAATATAGTGACACGAAACACTGATTTTTTCATGTAATAAATTGTTAAGATAGTGTGATTGATTCATACACTATCTTAGGTATGAAGTTATAAGGTGAGGAAATTTGGACCTTTATGGATAAGCAAATGAAATTGCTTTAGTTTCAAAATGGGTGTGGGCAGACAAATATTCCTTCATGGGCTTTACAGATTTGGGATTGCCATGTTCATAACTTTAGGGGGGACCTGATGAAGTCATGATGTACTACTAACTATCTGAAGCATCTTTTTGACTGAAAAAAGAAAATCATTACCAACCCTTTAACTACGCCAGGTAGTAGAGCCTACCTTATAATAAATACACACTTACGAACAACTTAGACTAATTTATTTTTTTGCTATCCTTTACTGATTAGAATTACCAGGCAAATTTCACATATATATAACACATTTTTGAATACGTAGCGACTGTTGAATCTCTTTTAAATTAATGTTTATGCATTTTGTTGAGATTAAACATAACTTTTTAACTTGTTGTATCAATGTTATGTTCATGCTTCTCTGTGTTGCTTAAATGTGTAATGTGTAATTCAACTATTAAACTCGAAGTCATCCTTTTTTAAGTTGGATAGAATATTGGGTGTTAGTTGTAACTCCTAACTTTAGTAGGCCATCTCATGTTAGACTGGTGCAACACTGAAACTACTCTACCTAATCATCACAGTATTCATCTAAACATCATACCATATCTTGTCACATGAGTTTCTAACTTTTTATGATGTGGATCCACCACGTTCCTATAATTGTTTATAGAAATGTTATTTTTTTCGTGTTAGGCATATATATAATATATAAACATAAATGTACAATCCAACTATTAGTTTAACATATTAGTTTAAATGGACAACACTTTAATTTGACTTAAACTTGTTTTAGTTGTTCTGTTCTTTTCTGACACGTATGATCAACAACGTTGCAGGGTCTTGATCCAAAATCAACGGCGGATTTATTCTCGAACTCGATCTGCACCGGCGAGAAAACGGTGAACGGAGAAGACTGCTTCGTACTGAAGCTGGAGGCGGAGCACTGTGCTCTGAGATCAAGAAGCAGGGGCAACGTGGAGATCATTCGGCACACGGTGTGGGGGTATTTCAGTCAAAGAACAGGCCTGTTAGTCCGCCTCGAAGACGCTCACCTTCTCCGGATCAGATCCGCCGCCGGCGACTGCTTCTGGGAGACGGCGATGGAGTCAGCCATCCGAGATTACCGCACCGTTAACGGCGTCAACATCGCGCACGCCGGGAAAACGTCCGTTTCGCTGTTCAGGTTCGGGGGAAACTCCCAAGGACACACCCGAACCAGGATGGAAGAGGCTTGGAGCATCGAGGAAGTGGACTTCAACATTATGGGACTTTCCGGCGACTGTTTCTTGCCGCCGAGCGACTTAATGAAGGAAGACGACCACGACGACGATGAGAAGTGTGGGTATGCCATAAAAAATGGGGTTACCGGAAAATTGAGATTGGGAATGAAACTTAGAGATTTCGGCGCCGGAAAAGGGGTTTCAAAGATTGTTGCGATTGAGGAAGATGGCTATGTAAACATTGAGGATTATGAAGAGTTGTAACTTTTTCCCCGCACTTAGAAGATACTATGCAGTGGTTGTTCCTTCGTTCGGAGACGAGATTATATTCCACCTATTCGATTATGCAACAGTAATTCATTCGTTATGAGACGAGATTATGTTCGGCCTATATATTGAAGAGTTGTAAACTTAGGGTAATATATATATGTATGTAATGTTGATAGGTTGCGGTCAATTTTGTACATATAGCACCGCATATGGTGTCATATATACACTCCTAAGGTATGTTACGTTAGCTAGCACGTAACAACTCACCTGGCCTGCAGTGTTGGGTTGGAGTTTAATTTGGAGCGTTACGTTATTTATATATGTAAGTCTTGCATGGGACATTTTTTAAGGTACAATGGATATGATACAAATTTACATAGCTACTAATCCAAATATCCAATACTTGTACAAGCCCATATAACAGACCAACCAAAATGAGAAGGAGACCTCAGTGGTCGCCTTGGCAAATTATTGTGTAGATCATGATCCACACAATGTTATGTGGATCATAATAAAAAGTACATTTTAATATACTAAGGGTCTGTTTGGAAACCCGGAAAATGACTTCTGAAAAATGAGTCATTTTCCAGAAGTCATTTTCCTTTACTGTGTTTGGCTGCACAATGGAAAACTGTCTTTTGGTGTTTGGTTCATTTTCCAGAAAATGATGGAAAACTGTCTTTTGGTGTTTGGTTCATTTTCCAGAAAATGAATAGAATGACACACTTTATTTTTATTAAACATTTTAATTATTATATACCGAATAATATATTTTTGTTTTTGTTTGTAGAATATAACAATTTTTATTACAAATTATATGCAACATAAATTTTGATTGTATTTAATTCTAATGCCATTACTCTCTATCTTTCTAGTACTAAAACTATTGTCACAATATGACAATTTGAGATCACAATTACATGTTAGAAACATCATAAACGCATAAGTAATCAAGTCTTGAAAATTAAAATTCACAAAGTGTTAGGATCCAATATAACAAGTACTAAGATCCAACATAACCAACCAACTACAAAACATACATAAACATAAGTCTTAAAGATTACAATCCAACTTTTAACATGCATGTTAACCAACAAAAAAGACATATATAATTTAATCCGTAGAAGAAATAAATTTCTCAATCCATTTCCTCTTCAAACTTGCATTCTTCGCATTGAAAATTCGCGCCTGAACCTCATTTGTCATCAAGTATTCAAATACCTTACATAGGTCATCCTCATGAAAGCCATCACCTATGCTCATCACATCCGCAAACAACTGATTTTCATCAATACCGGTATTCAAAGATTTAATTGCCGTGGCAATGCTACCAAGCTGTTCAGCAATTTCATCCACCTTCAAGTCAAGTGTCTTTCGCTTCCGACCGGATCTTTGAGACGACGCAGTTGATGCAGATGTTTTTCCCTTACTAATTTCTTCATCAATGTTATCAGGCAGGGTTTCATCAATGTTATCAGGCAATATCTCATCATGAGGACCATCTAAATTAACATCTGCAAAAGACTTTGCAAACCGTCCTACGGCACAATCTCTGCCAACGACAATGGACATCTCATCATAGAAATCAATCTTCCTGTTCAACAATGTTTCATACTTGGGAGTTGCCTATTTGGTTTGTATTCCTAAGTTGTTGCAATAGAAGGACTCTCATAGCTAGTATAGCACTTGTTGCACCCATAACAGTTGCACGTACATGATTTCTATCCATCTATACAATCAAAATAATAATCCAACAAATAACAACAATTAAAATTAACACATAACCACAAATTAAGCAAAGCATGTTATTATATAATCAATAAAAAAAAATACCAGCAACAAGTTTAGGATTTAGCATAATCAATAAAACCATTCACTGGTTTCCGATCGAAACTAGTTTTGATTTCCGATCAGAAACCAACTTGGTTTCCGATCGGAAACCAGTGTTCACTGGTTTCCAATTGGAAACCAGTGAACACTGGTACTGGTTTCCAATTGGATTGGAAACCAACAGTGTTGGTTACCGATCGGAAACCAGTACCAGTGTTCACTGGTTTCCAATTGGAAACCAGTGAACACTGGTACTGGTTTCCAATTGGATTGGAAACCAATTGGTTTCCAATCCAATTGGAAACCAGTGAACACTGGTACTGGTTTCCAATTGGATTGGAAACCAATTGGTTTCCAATCCAATTGGAAACCAGTGGCACTGGTTTTCCAATTGGAAACCAGTGACGCACTGGTTTCCGCGGAAACCAGTGACGGGGTTTTCCCCAATAATATTTGAAAAAAAAAAATTAAAAAAACATACCTTGTAGTTTTTCTAGTGTTGGTGAAGCTTTTGTGAATTGTTAGAGGAGATGCGTGGGTAGGTCTTTGTTGAATGTTGAAGAAGCCGTGAAGGGAGAAGAAGCAGTGAAGGGAGAAGAAGCGTGTCTGGATGTTGATTGAAAGATGGAAAATGACTTCCGCCAAAAAAAAGGGGAAGTCATTTTCCTTATTTCAGCCCTTATTTTCCATTGACTAGAAGTCATTTTCCTTTGACTTTTTTATTTTCAGCCTTCCCAAACACCAAAAACTTGGAAAATGACTTCCAGAAATCATTTTCTGGGTTTCCAAACAGACCCTAAATGTACATTATATTTGTACTGAATGTACATTATACAATATAATGTATACATAGAACAAAAATACTGTACATCTCCTAAATACAATGTACATTATTTTTGTACTGAATGTACATTAATTTTGTACTGAATGTACATTATTTTACAGTAGACAAAATATGGTTCACACAACTTGTATGGACCAAGGTCCACACATTGGTCTCTTTCTCTGTTACTGGCGATCGTTCGCTGATCATTTTGTTGCTTAAAATTTTGTCGGAGGATTGTCAGAACCCTAATGATTTGTGATAACAGGTCATTAATTGATTTTTAGGTTTTATTGTATCAAAAATATATTGTTCATGGGTGTATGGTAATTGCAGAGTAAATATCAAATTTGGTCCCACGAGTATTAGTAAAATGACAGTTTTGGTCCACATGTTTAACTTTACAAATTTTCATCCATGGCTATTGTTTTAGTACCAATTTTCATGCACGATTATTGTTTTAGTGCTAAAATTCATTATGCCGGTCACCCCTCCATTTAAGACATGTCGAAATCCAAAATTTTAAGGGCATTATCGTCTTTTTCAACTTAAGGTCCCAATTTAAGCATGAATAAAGAGATTTAAACTCTAATATCGATGCCAATTTGCAGTTCGATCTCCTCATTCCACCTTAATTTGAGGAGAACTGCGAATTGAGATCGATCTTAGGGCTTAAATCTCTTTATTCATGTTCAAATTGGGATATAAATTTGAAAAAGATTAAAATATCCTTAATAATTTCATATTTTGACATGTCTTAAACGAAGGGGTGACCAGCGTGATGTATTTTGACACTAAAACAATAGACGTTATGGAAATTGGTACTAAAATAATAGTCATGAATGAAGATGGGTAGAAATTAAATATGTGGACCAAAACTATCATTTTACTATTACTCGTGGGACCAAAATTGATATTTACTCAGTAATTGCATATTTAAAAAGTTTAGGGACTAATTGACTTTTTAGCTAAAGTTCAAGAGCCTACTTGATCCATTTCTCATTTTATAATGATTCTATATATTATTTAGAGAACTTTCTCAACCTACTAAAAAATACCGTCCCTACACTAGAGTTTAAGCTTGAGACCTCTCATTTGAGGGATCACAGATATACTTCGTATTTAATTTGTTATGTGATTAGTATGACTTGTGGATTAATTAATTACAAATTTGTATATTCATTTACTGTGTACAGATTAATCACTCCCATCATATTAAATTCCATATATAAATTTTATTACAAAAACATTATCTACGTATTAAGTTTACTATCGTTTTTTTTTTTAAATACTATTAACTCTATTACAATGTAAAATCTATTCACACATATTTTCTCAACCAACTAAATTACAAAGAGTTAATGCCTCCACATTTTGGTTTGAACCTGGGACCTCTTATTTGAGGGTCCACGGCGCAAGAAAAAAAAAAAAGAAAAAAAAAAGGTTTACTACGGCCTTATTTTATGCTCAAATTAAAGAGACGGTCAAAGCCAATTATATATCATGACATAAGAAAATTATAATTTAATTTATTCTGTATAAACAGAGTTACAATTTTCTTACATAATCTCAAGTGATTAACTAATGGAAATGTACATTATTCTAAATCTTGCATCTTACAATATATTGTCCAAGTCAAAGGCCGGCCCATTAAACTATCTCTAAAGGCCTTTAAAATAAGAATTGAATTAAATTTAAATTAGGAATAAGGGTCAAATAGGCCATCGAACTGCACACGATAATGCAATTAGGCCACTGAACCTAAAAAACCAACAATTAGGTCCCTAAACTAACCAATTTCAAACAATTCTTCCAATTTATAGGTTTCCAACAAGTTAACAGGTCATCCTCCCAAATTAATTATTTTTTAAAAAATAAAATTTTAAAATTAATTATTTAAATAATTAAAAAAAAAAAGAATTCAGCCGATCTGTTTTTTTTTTTTAATTTAATAATTAATTTTTAAATTTTATTTTTAAAAATATAATTAATTAATTTGGAGGATGACCTGTTGACTTGTTGGAAACCTTCAAATTGAAAGAATTGTTAGGAATTGATAAGTTTAGGGACTCAATTGTTGATTTTTTGGGTTCAGTGGCCTAATTGTATTATCATGTGCAGTTCGATGGCCTATTTGACCCTTATTCCTTTAAATTAAATAAGAGTCATAAAATAGGCCATTATTGTACCATACATTATGACAAGGTGAATTATTGACATATAAATTCATTTTGAATGTATTAAATGTATATTTTTTTGAAGTTCACTTTTAGGGATGTTTGTTAAATAATTGTTACATATTAGCTGATTGGGTTAGTAGGTTGATTAGTTGATAGCATTAGCTGATTGTAAAAAAATGTTTGATAAATTAGGTGTTAGTTGATAGTTGATCACATGTAAAATGACTCTCTCAAAAATTTTATCGAAAAAGCTATCTTGTGCACTTTTTTGAATTTTAGCATTTTGGAGCAATAAGCTGTTACAAAAAGTCAATTAATCAAACACTTGTATTGAATGTTTAACCTATTCAAACAGCTAATAGTGGTCAAATAAGGCAAAATTAGATGATAAACTAACTATGTTACCAAACAGGGTCTTAGTATATTATCTAAAAATAAATATATGCAGTAGTAATTAAAAAAAAAAAAAGATACTTCATTATATTAAAAATGAATATTTATGATGGTCTATCTTGCAATGTGATATAATTGGCTTTAAAATAATAA